TTAATTAATATATGTAATTATAGTATAGATAAAAAAACCTAGGGGGTACAATAGAAAAATATTTAAAAAGATGAAGGGTAAAAACTAAAAATATTAAAGGGTTAAAAATGAAAAATAAAATAAATAAATTTTAATTATTTTATTGTATTATATAGGTGGGGGTATAGAAAATGTAGGAGAAAAGAAATAGGAGGGGGTGGGGTTAGAAAACCCCAATTTTAATTAAATCCATGACTTTGACATGATTAGATGGTAGTTTTTTCTTTAAAATGCGTATTACATCATTAATTTAATTAAAAACTCATTTAAGGTCATATCCATAAAAGTGTAATGCGTAAGAAGATGGACATTCTTGCTGAATAATGACACTCAGGTTTTCAACTTTATGTACCACTCACCTGCCTTTAAAACACAATTTACCTCCTTCATGATCATCATTGAACCAACAAGGTAGAGTGCAAAAACATATTATAAAGGATATATATATATATATATAGGGTATATTTCTTTTACAATCTTGTGCATTTGTACAACCTTTGCAACTCAATTAATTGAGATATTTATAGAAATGATTGGAGTTTATTTATTATGATTTGAATATTTATGGAATATAAATATAGTTTATTAATTATGATTAATACTTTATATTAGGAAACAATTAATTGATTAAAAATTGAATGGTTGAGATGAGGGTTGTATAGGGTGTAGGAATGGCAAAKGGWGTAGAATAACATCCCTCTATATATATATATATATATATATATATGTGTGTGTGTGTGTGTGTGTGTGTGTGTGTGTGTAGAGGCTAAATCAAATATAAACCACAAAAATGTTATAAATTTATGAGAACTGATTTAAAGTATTTTTCTACATGATTTTTTATGGAAAAATAATCATGTAACAAAATATATTTTTTATTATCATCCAATGTGTGTGTGTATATATATATATATATATATATATATGAACAAATTCAAACGAGAAACTAAACATTTTGCGAGAATATATATATATATATATATATATATATGAACAAATTCAAACGAGAAACTAAACATTTTGCGAGAAGACAAGAAGTTTCAATATCATATATGATTATATGCATAATACACAAACTTAATCATATATGATTAAACACATAGACGCTTAATTATATATGATTAAGCATACACAAAGAAGTGTAATCATATATGATATTGAAACTTATTGCTTTCTCGCATTTCTCGCATGATTCTTCCTTTATATATATATATATATATAGAGAGAGAGAGAGAGAGAGATTTGGGATCATGTAAGACAAGGTTGTTTTCGTGAGACAAATTTTTTACACTTGAAACTTTGCACAAAACGTTGTGAAGGTAAAAAAAAGAGCCGAACTTTTACAGCAAAAACACTGTGAATGTTACCTTTACAACGTTTTGCTGTGAAGTTTCAAATGTAAAAAAGTGGTCTCACGCGTCTCACAAAAATAGGTTGATCCTATGGCTATATATATATATATATATATATATAGTTAATGGGTGTGTATTTATTGTGGTTAAAAAGCAAGCATATGAGTTGTCTAATTATGTGGATTTAATGACAGAGGAAGAAGGGAGGGCTGAGATCTTTGCATGTGCCCAATAATCTTCTCCATTGGTGATCAAGAGGGAAGATGTGAGGAGGTCAAAATTGGAATTCTCAAGATTCTTCTATTCCTGGTAATGGATGATCCAATGGTCCTCAAGCTTTCTGAGTGTTTTCTTCTTATGCCAAATGACCATTTTGCCCCTGGGCAACTCAGAATACAACTCATGGAAGCAAAGTTGATTGATTAGCACCAATGATTGATTGACTTCTTTTTCTAATATTATTTCTATCACTATAACTTATATATTTGCATCTTTTTTTTCATAAACAGTTAAACGAGAACAGGGTCAAAATAACGAAATCTGATAATGATAAAATTATATCTGATTTTACATTGGAATCACATGTGATTACTGAACAAGGTCAATGCATGGATGCACACGGGACTGGGCCCATGGCCAAAGTCATGCATAATCACATGTAAGTTTAGTATAAATTCACATGTGATCATTGAACAAGGTCAATGCATGGATGCACAAGGGATTGGGCCCATGGCCAAAGTCGTGCATAATCACATGTAAGTTTAGTATAAATTCACATGTGATTACTGAACAAGGTCAATGCATGGATGCACAGGGGTTTGGTCCCATGGTCGAAGTCAGTGCATAATCACATGTAAGTTTAGTGTAAAATCACATGTGATTTCATCGTTCTCGTGATGTCTTATTTGGTCACCGTTTTCGTTTGAACCAGACACTTGTTTTGCTTTCTTATATGTTTTAGATGGTTATCAGGTAATTTTCTCATTACAATGTCTTGTTTGGTAATTATCTTCAATAATTGTGAATTATAATCCCTTTTTATGTAAAACCTTAACGATCTTTTTACTTTTACGACTGAAAAATGTAGGCATACGTCTCGTCTTTTCCAAACTCTATTTAGTGATTTAACTGGGTTCATTTGGTTTCCTTTTTTTTATTATCGTTAACATGGATATCCAACTCGTTATGCGATCCGATTAATTCCAGAGCGACCACCTGTTTTGCAAGTAGCCCGGAGTCACTGTATTTGAACATTCGTGGCAACAAGGAGATTTTTATTCCTCCTTGGATATGAACATGAGACCTCCAGGCACTTTTTACCTTTGGAGCTCAAGCTCAAATCAATCACGCATCACCCTTGTGGTTTGGTTTCCTTTTTAATTTGTATATTTGTCGATTGGATTTATGTGTTATTTATGGATTTCCGCATGGTGATTGATTTTGATTTGGGCAAATAACGTTTTAACCCTTTTTGTTATCATTTATGATAGTTTAGGGGTAAGATAGTCATTTTTCATGGTCTTTTAAATCCAAATGTGTCACATATTGTGAAATCATAGAACTAAACATTTTAAATCGAGAATAATATCTTATACTCAAATAATATCAATTGGTAAGAATCAGCTTCTGTAACATGTTAACAGATATTCGATGTCTGTTGATATTAATTCTTTTTAAAACTTGGGTTTAAAAAATGTTAACAAACTGTCTGGTTTCATCATCTCTCTCTAAAATCTTTTCACAAACCAGATATATTCATGAAAACTGTAATCCGCTCCTTCTGATTTTGGTTATGTTTTTAGAGCATCCACACAAATTATAAAATAATTTCCACGTAACGGTGGATATAGCTTTTGAAATACGAGTGACATTGCATTGGTGTAAGAAATAACTGTAAGTCCATACGTCTTTTTTTTTTGCAAAAGATGATTTAAATTGATCAACGATGTTGAAATCGGATGATATGTGTGTGTGTGTGTACGGTTGAGTTCACGTGAGATCAATATGTTTTCGTAAGACAAGTGAGACAACAAAATAACACTAAAACTTCACAGCAAAACATTGTGAAGGTAAAAAAACTTCGAACCTTCACAGCAAAAACACTATGAATGCTTACCTTCTCAATGTTTTGCTGTGAAGGTTTAGTGTCATTTAGGTGGTTTCATAAGTCTCACGAAAACAAGCTGGTCTCACCTGATCCCAAATCTATATTATAGGGTTGAGTTCCGACGAGAAAGAGAGCGAAAGTAAGAAATTTAAAAAGTGATTCTCACTCTTAGATTCACATTATGATGAGATGCATCGCATCAATCCCCTATCAAAAACAATCCTTAGAAGATTAAAGGTGATCAAGGTCCAGATCCATTTTTACACTTCTCACATTTATTCTCTTTCTCACACGATCTTTCTCTCTCTCTCTCTCTCTCTCTCTCTCTCTCACACATATCTATATATACATATATATAGGGGCCTAATCAAATGAGAACCGATTAGTTTGTGGTAACTGTGAGATCCAATCTCAGCCACAAATCAACGGATAAATTAGGAAATTAATAATTATGGTAGTTTGAGTTAAAATTATAATTAGAGGGCATATTTGGTATTTTTTTTAAAAACTCATCTCTCCTCCTCTCTCATCTCTAACCTCCAATCTCCGGCCTCCGGTGAAATCGGTATCACATTATATTACAATGGGTATCACATTGTGTATCCTTGTTTTGAAGGTTTGAGTTGGTATCATAGTTGGTATCGCAATGGTATCACAGTATATCACATTGTGTATCTTTATGATTACTTGATACCTGCCGGATTAATGTTCACCGGAGGCCGAAGATTGGAGGTCGGAGAGATGAAATAGGAGAGAGGGGATAGGATTTTTTTTTTAAATACCTAAAAAGCCCTCTAATTATAATTTTAACTCAAACTACCATAATTATTAATTTTCTAATTTATCTATTGATTTGTGGTTGAGATTGAATCTCACAGAGTCACAGTTACCACAAACTAATCAGTTCTCCCTTGAATGGGCCCATATATATATATATATATATATATATATATATATATATATATATAAAGGTGGCTTTCTTTCATGGCTTTTATAGGTTGTATAAAAAAGCAAAGGAAATGCCTCATTAATCCTATATACAAAAAGGAGCTCTTCATTATGTATTCTTTTTTTTGCCAAAAATGGTATTACTTCCATCCTTTTCACATGTATCATATAATTAAATAAATTTTGGTTTATAATTATTTAAATAATGTTTTTTTTAAAACATAGAAAATTGGGTGGTTACAATGGATTAACGGTTCAGATTGATTTGTCACTACAACAAATTCGGGTTTATCGGACACTCAAAATGTTTGAATGTCCTTATAGACTAGTTTATATGATTACAAACTAGTAAGTGTTATAATAAGCTTATATAACGTTTTTTGGTGTCTTTTCGTCCTTTTAGGACACTTTTGGACATTTTTATACGACATTTCGGTTCGGTAAGGTTCGGATTGGATTGGATTGGATCGGTTCATCATGTGGTTCAGTTTCGATTTTGGTAACCAGATATCTGCCTAATGCGGTTCGGTTCACATTTTCCCTACGAATCGAGCCAAACCGTGAACACCCCTACAATACAAATGTACTGTAAAAAGATGTTTTTATTGTCTTAAAGGGTCTTATAAAATGACGAATATGACATTTTGTTTCGGAAGTGTCTTAAAAGTTAGAAGACGTCCAAAAGCATCATATAAACTTGTTACAATACTCTTATAGGACACACAAATGTCTTGTCTTATAAACTTAAGTCATATAAAGTAACATATTAGAGCACTTTTAATGTCCTACAAACCTAATTTTATTAGTGTTTTCTTCTATAATTTATTAAATATATATAATTTCAGTTTCATTTTAATAAACTTTAAGGGGCCATTTATCAAACACTTACCCGGTAAGTGTTTACCTGTAAAATTTAACACTATTATGTACTTGTCGGGTAAGATTTTAGTCCACCAAAACAACATTGTATGCAACAATTTACCCAGTAAGCGTTTATCATGGTAAGAGTCGTCGCACTCACTTACCGGGTAAGACTTTTGGTCCTTGTCTCGCTCTTATCGAGTAAGATTTCTGGTCTTTACTATATTCATCCGGTGAGGTAATGTTACTTGATAAACGTTTACTCGTGTAAGCATTTGGTAAACGACCCTAAGATTGTGTAAATAATTAAATATACTTTTAATTGTTTGCATGTTTTTTTAAAATTTTGTAGCAAATTCCTTTATTATACACATTTTTTTATTAAATAAAATATAATTAAAACTAATATGTTTTTGCATGAATATATATTAAGGGTCTGTTTACCAACGGTAAAATTCAACTCTATCAGTTACTTACCTACCAGGTAAAATCTTAGTCCATCAAAACAGTACTGTATGCAACAATTTATCCAGTAAGCACTAACTATGGTAAGATTCTTTGCCCTCACTTACCGGGTAGGGCTCTCGATCATTGCTTTCGCTTTTATTGGGTAAGATTCTTGGTCTCTATCATATACATTAGGTAAGATAATATGACTTGGTAAGTGCTTACCACAGTAAGAGCTTGATAAACGAGCCCTAAATCTATCTCATCTAGGTCTGAGACGTGTACTTAAAATTAAAAAGTCAAATACGTGTAGTCTGCGAGGTCCTTCGTGGAGTGCCATGCTCGATGTTGAAGGCACAACCATGCAATTCTAAACGAAACTACTGATATGATTAATTGATGTTTGTGTAAGTTTCGTATTCCTATTTTGTCAATCCATTCAGATAACAAAATGATACAAACACAGTACGATAATGATATGACTTACATCATGCAGTATTTGTTGCGTATTAAAATTCGCTTCAACATCTAGAAAATACCATCTTGAATCTCTACAAATTTATAAAATGTACATATCTCAAGATATATAGTTCTAAATACTAGTATTTTAACATCTTTTTTTTAAGTACATAATATTTATATACGACAAATACAACAAACAAACTCACACACCCTCCTCACTTTTGGTGAGGTTTGAACCTCTGACCTCCTAGGAAGCCAAATGCTACGATACCGCTAGATCAAAGGTGTTTTGGTAATATTTTAACGTTTTACATTTTCTATGTTTCACACTACATAGTTTTTTGTTGTTTACTACATACTAGTTTTTTTGTCGAAACCTTTTTGCTTAAATATTTGCAAGCAGTGGTTTTTACAAAAACAGTTACCTCTTAACTCTTTTTTATAAAACAATCAAGAAACTGCAAGTCAATGCTGCAGGACACTTTTTCTTGCGGTGCCACAAGCTACGATTTTGGCTTGTTTTTTGTGCGTTGAAGCAATGTCTTTGCAATGCCACAGAGTGCAGTGTTCTGGGCCCACTTTTGTCACAAATCGCGAGGAAAAGTGCCTTAGGACATTGACTTTTTGTTTCTTGACTATTTTGTGAGGAAAAAAATTGAGGGTGGTTAAAAAATATAACTTTTTCCCTTGTATGATTATTTAATATAATAGCCCCTAATTTCAAGTAGGATATACTATATTCATTTGATTTGTTTTATCATTAGATAGCCACAATTTGAATAGACATTCTGTAATATATATATATATATATATATATATATRTRTGTGTGTGTGTGTGTGTGTGTGTGTGTGTGTGTGTGTAAAGAGAGACTTTGGATCATGTGAGACCAAATTATTTTTATGAGATCCATGAGACCACCTAAATAACATCGAACCTTCTCAGTGTTTTTGTTGTAAATGTTCAGAGTTTTTTTTACCTTCACAATATTTTACTATGAAGTTTCAGTATTATTTTATGGCCTCATGGTTCTCACAAAAACAAGCTAGTCTCCTAAACATATAAAGACTTGAGATCATATGAGAATGAAAGTTATGGTAAGAATAGATCTTCACACTTGGATACACATTAGGATGAGATGCACCAGATTAATCCACATATCAAGTGCAATTCATGGATGATTTTGAGATTAAAAATGATCAAAGCTCTAAATATCTTCCTACCTTCTCATCTTAACTCTTCTTCTCATATTATCCGTCATATATATATATATATATATATATATATATAGGGTTGGGTTCACGTGAGACCAAGAGTTTTTCGTGAGACCCATAAAACCAATTTATGTTCATTGATCAACTTTATAAGCTAATGATCTAATGGTCTAAAGTTGTGCAGTGGCAATTTTGTGATTATTGAGAAGTCTTGTGGCAATTTTGTGATTATGAATGTTCAGATTGTAGATCTAATCCAAGGGTTGAGAATTTGTCTTACGGGTCTCACGAAAAACCCATGGTCTCACATGATTCCAAGTCTATATACATACATACATACATATACAGGGTTGGGTTCATGTAAGATCAAGGGTTTTTCGTGAGACCCATAAGACCAATTTATGTTCATTGATCAACTTTATAAGCTAAAGATCTAAAGTTGCACAGTGGCAATTTTGTGATTATTGAGAAGTCTCGTGGCATTTATGAATGTTCAGATCTGACGAATGTAGATCTAATCCAATGGTTGAGAATTGATCTTACGGGTCTTATGAAAAATCATTGGTCTCACATGATCCCAAGTCTATATATGTGTGTGTATATATATATATATATATATATATATATATGTATGTATATGTGGGGTTGTGATGGTGAAGTAAGAGTGGGTCCAAATATTAGTTATGGTTGTTATTAAAAGGCGTCAAGAAAAGAAAGATGAAGTATCAATTTTGAATGGTGACATGTGAAAATGGTATGAAAGCTCCATTCCTCTATAAACAATAGACATAGAGCATAATTGTTGGGATATAAAGAGAATGACACCCATTTCTATCAAGTTTTGCCTTACCCATTACTCCATCTCCTTTTTTTTTCAAAATTAGTGATATTTATTTTAATATTTCCATTTTATTTAAATAAATAATAACAAAATAAAAAGAGAAACATCATGATGATAAATTCTAGAGTAAACTACAATTTTGGTCCTTATGGATTGTCAAAATAACACTTTTTTATCCTTACAGTTTTGTAATTACAAAATACTTATCATGGTTTGTAAAAACATTTGGATTTGATCCCTTATTCTAATGGCCATTAAAAGAATTCCATTAATATAAGGGACATTTTCATCATTTATCAATTTTTTTGTCTTTTACCCGCTAAAAAACCAAGGAACCGAAATATATAAAATCGATTTTGACCAAGTAAAAGACAAAAAAAATTGATAAAAAGATAAATTCCCTTCATTTAACGGAAATTTCGAACTGTTGTTGAAAGAAGAGGTCGAAGCTGAACGTTTTTACGAACCATGATGGCTATCTAATAATTTCAAAACTATAGGAACAAAAAGTGATATTTTCTACAAACCATAGGGACCAAATTTGTAGTTTACTCTAAATTCTAAATCAATTTCCTCTTTACTTTCTAAATCTACTATATTTTTTTACTATTTAATTCAAATGGATTCAAATAATAAGTGAATAAGTAGCAGTTTACGACAAACGTTATTACTTTATCGGATGAAAATGGCAAAGGATCAAAAATCTTACTCGGTAAGAGCGAGGCAAGGACCGAGAGTCTTATCCGGTAAGTGAGAACGACTCTTACCACGGTTAGTACTTACCGGGTAAATTGTTGCATCCAATGCCGTTCTGGTGGACAAAAATCTTACAGGGTAAGAGAGTGATAGTGTTGAATTTTACCGATAAGCACTTACCGAATAAGTGTTCGGTAAACGACCCCTAAGAGTGTCTCTCTTAGCTTACTTGGCCAACATCTCAACTAGCATCATAGACCAGTAAAAAAGGAGGCCTGGCAAGTTTTCTAGGACGTTTTGCGATTGCAATCCTAAAAATATGTGAAACTTTATTAGATTACTCTCCAGAAGAACCTTTTAGTAGACGAAGGAGGGTTCATTATATATCGAGGAGGATTAGAGTTTCATCGTATATTGAGGAGAATTACTCCACGTCTAACCGATGCAGACTCTTAACACAAGAAAAATAAAAAAATCGAGTAGAATGTTGTGGGGGACTCTACCGCGGTCTCCAATAGACACTAGACGAGTACAAATTATCCAAAGCGTTGAAAGGGTACTAGACGAGTACAGATTGTTCCAGGTGTCGAACCACTAGAGTGGTAGATATCAGCTCTGATACCATGGCAAAATATATGAAAACCCATTACACGACTCCCAAAAAAATCCTTTAGCAGAGAAAGAGGCTCCAATATATAATGAACAAAAATGACCCAAGTCTAACCGATGGTCACATACTGGTATTTCATTTCGTCAAGTCAAGAAACATAGGGTCACCTAGATCCCGGTTTAGACCTTCTGAAGTTCCATAACATGAAGGATCAAGACCGGTACGAATTGCTGCATTTGATGCAACCACATTCTTTCACGATAATACCGAACACCAAACAGTATAATGCTTCTGTAACATCCCAAACCAACCGTACCAGATATTGGTTGCTTTGTCCACACATCTGGACTCACGGTTTCAAGACGCGTATGGTAGAGGCGGTATACAATTCCTTATAAAGCAACCTTCGTTCCTCTTCCCAACGAACACTAAAATACGATCCAAGCGTGTGATCATGTAAATTATGCAATAAGAACCCCTTTAGACTTAAAATCTAATTAATTGCATTTGAAACCGAAAAAACTGTAATTACTCCTAGAAATTATGTACTTCGATGAATCTAGAGAACGTCATAAGTTAGTTTCTACGATCTTGTTTAGATATACGAAAGTATATATAACTTAACAAAGCTTTTATAATGCATTTTCTTACCGATGAGCAGCAAGGTGAGCTCCTACTCGCATACCAAAATTAGCTTCGACCTAACCACCACCATCGCCATAGCGCCGCCACCACCCGCCATGCCGCCACCACCATGAATATACAGCAATATCTGGAAAAAAGATCTATCTTCCCGAATGATAACAGTTGTTAGCTAATAAACAGAGAGAAAAAGTTGCTGTTTATAAAGCATGATTGCCATCGGTGATGCCATTGATTGATAGCTTCATCTGTCGTATGCATCTTTGTGTCGGTTCTGGCGCTAAACTCGTGATCCCGATAGATTCCAAAACCGGAGAAGAAGATTCCTCCTCCCGCTCGGGTTGTGTATTCAAGTCGATATTTTGACTTTTGAAAGGGGTGGATGGTTTTTCTCCATCTGGATTGTTTTCAGAACTTCCACCGGCCGCTGTTTTGTGGTCATGACCACTATTTCCCGTCTGGGTATGCCGGAGAATGTCGGCATACGGCACTTGACTCGGAACCCGAACAGAATTTCCGGCTTCTTTCTCCGAATCTTTTGAGCCATGGAGAACCATCGGGGTTTGAGTAAACCGCTTAACCGCTAGGCAGACGTTACAGGTGCATGTTGGTTTGTGCTTGGTGGCGCTTGGCGACTGAATGCAGACAATACAGGTGCATCCGGGTCTATGGCGGGGGTGTCTTGTGGTGGCCTGAGACAATGTCGGAATGGCCTCGCCATCCTGGATTGCCAAGTCAGCAAGTGCATCAAGCCCATCCATCATCTTAACCGGTTCTGGATTTTCTGAATTAATGTTCCTAGAAGATGCTGCATGTGAAACAAAAAGGCAGATAGATTAGCAAAAGCTATGAAAAGCTGAAACAGGCGGATTCAAATGAGAACCCGTAAATAGTTTGAGAACCTCAAAACCAACTATTCATGCATTATTCATAATGAATATCGTGATGGATATTCATGATGATAAATTATTCATAATGAATAATACATGAAATAGTTGGTTTCCAGATTCTCAATATATTTATGGTTCTCATGTAAACTTTCCTTATATATGAAATATTATATTCCATTCATCCCGAAATAGATGTCCACAATGAAAAAGGCACATAGTTAAAAAATGGGTAATTATTACACTTTTTAATTAACCAAATAACAAATATACCCATAACAATAGCGGGAGCAATGAATTTCTCCATCTCATAATTAAGGGTGGAACTATGCTTGACTTTATTGTTTTCAACTTCGTTTTTTCAGATAATTTTCTTATGTTCTTTTTCCATATTTTTAATTCACTAATGGAAACAACCGTTCTACTACTTGGGTCGAGATCAGGTCTGCGTACATCTCGCCCACCCCAGACCCCTCTTCAAGTGAGATTTATTTGTTTGATCAAAGTGCACAACTATGGTTTTGTGGTGCTACTTAGAGAATGAATACATTGTATTTCTTTCTCGCAGAATTATAACTTACATCTGTCTTTAGTTCATATGCTAGAGGAATAATTACCGAGGGGTAATGGCACATAGCCTTCTTGTCTATAGCCGTCGAGTTTTGCTGTGGGATACAGAGTCAGGATAAGGAATTAGGTGATTGTTAGTCACTACCATTTCTACTTCAAGACTACCTAACCCTATGTACTTGGTGGATGCTATTCCTCGCCGGGTTCTTGTTCCTGACGCAAGAACCTGTAGGCTAAAGTTTCTATGACGTTGATACCCGTGCTTACTTCACTGCAGCTACCTTGATCACAGTTGTCCCCACTGGAATCAAAATCTTTAGTTGGATCGCTACCATGTGGGGGGGTTCGATACAATACAAAACACCCATGTTATTTGCTGTAGGGTCCATATTTTTGTTCACCATAGGGGGACTCACTGGCATAGTTCCGGAAAATTCTGGGCTAGACATTGCTCTACATGATACCTGTTATGTGGTTGCACATTTCCATTATGTACTTTCTATGGGAGCCGTTTTTGCTTTATTTAATAAAAAATTCCTTATTTGTCAAAAAGATAAGACTTATAGGATTGTACTTTTGCTTTGTAAGCTGACTAGGTTAACGTAGGGTGCCTTAGCATTGGATGCCAATGCCATCTATGGTTGGATAGTACCAACTCGACATTGATGAGCGAAGGGAGATCAATGAGATAAGGGTTGACCTTTAAAGGAAACAAAAGCATTCTATAAACAAGTTGACTTGAGACAAAATGTCTTTTGTCAACGTTAATATAGGAACCTACTTGAGCCCTTCTAAAACTGGGGTTTAGGCCCCTTAAATGACCTCTCAGTGTGTTACTAAATAACATCGTTATCACCGAACGGAACACAAATCCATACAGCTCGTACTACGAGGGCCTGCACTCACTCACTCTATTCACCTCCCCTGTAGGTTTGTATAATGGTACTTTTTTTATTTGGTTTATAATTAAGGGTTGAATTGAAAAGTAGACAGTGGAACTTATTTGGTACAAACTAAAATAGAAATATGGACACTTATTTTGGGACAAAAAAGAACACATTACCACACCACAATACACAATATGTCAGAAGTGATGTGTACCGTGATTAATCATAGGAAGCATATGCTGAAGACGTTCTGGTGTCGGTTTGACCTCCATTGAACAAATAGATCTGGTAGCCAGGTAGGGTAGAAGAAACTTGTACAAACTCTTGGAATAACCAAAAAAAACTTGATTAATATTTTAGTAGTCAACTTACCCCTGATGATTTGTTGAAAAAATTGCAGGACTTCCTATAATTGGTGCCTCCTGTTACATTGAATAATGTCAAAAGAACACAAGAAAGAATCTTGTTATCAATGATTTCGACATCCAACAGATAAAATTTAAGGGTGGTTTTGGTATGTGGGTCGGAACAAAAACCTGTTCTCCCACTTTCAGTGTGACAATAGACTGGGACAAGACAGGGACTGAGTGGGACGGGACAAAACAGAACAAAAACCTGCTGTCCCATGTTCGGTGCAACCATAGACTGGGACAGGACAAGTGGAACAAGAATCAGGGAGATAAGACAAGTTCAGTAAATTATTGAACTGCACATGTCAAATTAAATCCCTATTACCTTCGACAATTCTTTCACCCGCCTATCCCACTCTCGCCAGTCCAATTTTGTCCCATCTGCATACCACAAGACAGGACAAAACATAATAGGAATCACTGTTCCACGTCTGGAAGGACTTTTATGTGGAACAGAGTTAAACAGGCGTGTTCCACCCCCACCCCATGGAAAAGGGTGAAAAGACCTATATTTTACAAATATAACATCAAAATAAAACCTAAATACTCTTCTAAAACATCAAACACGTCTCCTTCTTTACATTATCTTCACTCTTTAAATTTTATTTATTGTATTTTATGTTCTTTAAACTTTCACTTTACTGTCCTTGAAATATTATTTTTGTATGGTTTCTAACATTTGATTATTTATGTGATTTATTAAATATTAATAATAAAAAATAATACAGAAAGGGTATAAAATAAAAACTAGAAACTACATAAACCTGTTCTTTTATTGTCATTTTAATTGTCTTGACAAAAACTTTCTAATGATATATTTTGTTATAAAAATATTTATTTTATTATAGTTTAATAAATTATATACATTAACCAAAATATATAAACTCATTAGGGATAAATTGGTCATTTCATCTGTTATGTCTTACCAAAAGCTGAACAGTTGTTTGTCTTGTCCTATCCTTTTCTGCCCTACCATGTCTGGATACCAAACGCACCCTAAACGAGCAGCAAGATCATGCACAACAATATCTAGCTCCAAGCCATGATTTAACACAACGTACTCGATTATTATCTAGAGAAGGAAGAAATGCACCGTCCATTACCTGATAATCCTCAAACTCAACGCCTTCGACTACCACGATGGTGGGAGCATTAATAAGAGGGGGTTGTAACAATTCTTGAACTTGTTCTAAAGTGACATTTAGTTGAAGTATCTCTTCGCCATTAAGTTTAAGTTGTTTACAGTTTGAGCCTGTTTTTGCCCCCTTCTTCCTCTTGGCACGAATAGAAATTTTATCAACTTCTGACCATGTACCATCTGGATTTCTCGACTTAAATGAGATAGTACCCTTCGAAGGATCTTCATTCCTTGTGCTCACTGTTTCATTGCCCTGCAGGCAAGAACATTTGAGCAATTCGATAAAAAGAACTTAATTAGCTTCATAACAAGGAAATTTAGTAACTGAAGATGCTCTTTATTTATGTTCACAAAACTGTTAAAAAGTAGACTTACCTGGTCAGATGGAGAAGCGAGTGACGCTTTTCTGAATCCCATGACAAGCTTTCCTTCGGGCTCTAACCTACTAAATGTTACTGAACCAAAAAAAAATGAATGCCCATAACTCAAATTAAGATGAGACCCACAATTTCTACTCCTTTCTCCCAAATTAAATGTCCACAACGAAAAAGGTAAGCAGTTTTAGAAGTGAGTAATTATTATACTTTTTGATTAACTAAATGACAATTTTACCCTTAATAATCAAGGTTCTAAATGGCGTGAGGTGTGACGTTGCGGTGAGGCCAAGCCTCAAGCCTTAGAAGCCACGGCGAGGGCACGCTTTTTTCAAGGCATGACCTATGGCGTAAAATCTCTATATCATATATAATAATATATAAATATGTTTTCTCCTATTACTCAATGGATCAATGATGTTAAACAATTCAAAGTAGGTTATATATATTAAAAACTAACAAATAAGACATTAAATGGTAAGAAAAATCAAATATAGCGTTACAAAAATTGCGCATTGGGCCATGGGGTGCCACAGTTTAACATGGCGTGAGACACAAGCCTTGAGCCACGGCGTGCCACGGCAACTGTTGCGGCGAGCCTTTTAGAGCACTGTTAATAATAGATGTAATAAATTTCTCCATCTTAATTAAGGGTAGAGTTGGAAAGTGGCACTTGCTTTTCAAAGTGGACACTTATTTTGGGACAAACTAAAATATAAATGTGGACACTTATTCTGGAACGGAAAGAGTAATAATTAGAAATGTTAGCACCTACACCTTTGCCTAACTGGGGTTGCTCAAGTGGTTGAAGCTTACCCAGAATAACCAAGAGGTTGTGAGTTCAAATTCCACACTTGCAGGATACCCAGTAAATCACAAGAGTGCATCAATGGGCAAGCGGGAGAAGTTTTAATCTTGGGGGCGAGTTTTACGAGTCCCAAAAGAAAATCAATGTCGAGGTCTTGACAAACAAGACAAGACCCCCTTGACGTTTGGTTGAAACTGACTTAGAATAACCTGGACCTACTAAGTTTATATCTCACATTGGCTGGTTGTCCAATTAACTATACGGGAATGTTGTAATAGGCAGGCAGCAAAAGATTTCACATCCTTGGTTTACTCGCCTTTGGGTAAGATTTCCCGGTATAAAGATGTGAGAATATGTGGAACCTCGTTAGATTACTCTCGGAAAGAGCCCTTGAGGAAAGGATGAAGGTTCCAACATATATTGAGAAGAAATGGTCAAAGTCTAGCCGATGTGGTACTCCAACAAAAGAAAATCAATTTTCAGGCCTTGATAAAGAAAAGGACAAGTGACATGTGTCATTTACCTGTATCACCAGCTTGCAATTGCATTGATTGTATACAAGGAGTGACTCCTTCTAAAACATACATTCTGCTATTATTGTTGGGCCAGAATCTAAATTGTAACACCCAATCCTTCCCCTTTAAATCTTGAACTACAAGGGGATAACCTTCAGGCTGAGAAATTGGAGGAAGGTAAGCCTGTACAAGAAATGAAAAAAACTTAAAACCATTCCATCACAGTCTCAGAAGATATCGTCTTATGTTTTGTATAGTTTATTCACACCATTACCAAAAACCAGAATTTTGTATCATAAGATTCAATATGTACCATGGTATATATATATATATATATATATAGAGAGAGAGAGAGAGAGGTTAAGGGAAAAACCCCAAAAATATGAAAAAATGAGGAACAACCTGGTAACTATTCATTTGGACGGTATGCATGATATGCGCATGTGCATACCGAACAAATTGCTTATGCACATGGGTATACCGTCCAGATAAATGGTTATTAGGGTGTTCCACAGTCTTTCATTTTTTTGCGGTTTTCCCCAGAACATGACCCAATATATGTGTGTGTGGGTGGGTGGTGAAGAACATTAAAATATGTGATAGATAAGTTCGTAACTAGGCCATAATTAGACTAACCTCTGCACATTTCTTTGGCAGCACCAATCGCCCAATCCTCCCAGCATCACTAGCACTTAACACTTTTTCAAACAAAGGAGTAATCTTCGCATTTGTACTATCACCGCGTTAAAGGCAACAACAAAGTACTGAGCATACATGCCTGCTGCTACTATAGGATCATCATCAAAAAGCATTTGAGGGCATGATTTGCGCAAATGTCAAAATCCAGATATACCTTGCATAATAATGCCCTTTTGCACTACTAACCGCTAAATATTACTCCCTCCATCCCAAAATAGGTGTCCAGGTTTCTACTTTAGTTTGTTCCAAAATAAGTGTCCACTTTCAAAAGTAACTGCCTACTTTTAAATTGTACCCTTATTATGAGATGGAGAAATTTGTTACTCCCTTTATTATTAAGGGTGCAATTGTCATTTAGTTGATTAAAAATGTAGGGTCAGGTTCCGAAGAAAACTGCAAAAAAATGAAAAATTGAGGAACACCTTGATAAATGTTCATCTGGATGATATGCATATGTGCATACAAGTAATCTGTAAGCAATTTGTCCAACATGCACGTGTGCATAAAACCAAGAAACAACTTCAATTCCTGGTATGCACATGTGCATACGGTCAAGATGAATGGTTAACACGTTGTTCCTTAGTTTTTCACTTTTTTGGGGGGGTTCTTCCCATAAAAAATGTAATAATCACATTTCTAAAATCGTGTGCCTTTTTCATTGTGAAATTTTATTTTGGGACATACGGAGGAGTAATAAACATATTCCACTAATCAACAATGGCTTTTGAAAGTAGGATACCCTCCAGATATCTGTTGTAGTTCTTGATCTGTTATCCGGGGCCAGTAACGCGGAAGTAGCTGATTCCTCCCCCGTGTTTCTCCTCTAGATTTTGCATTGTGAGCCTGAGCTTCAAGAGATGGGCCAGATCCATTGTTATTAGAGAACTGTTTCCCTACCAATGGCAGAGGACATAGATGTTGAACATGAATTCCAGATACCTTTCCTTTTTCACTTTTTTGATCTTGTGCCACCATTCTTGCTGGCAAACTAGAAAGAGAGGTCGGAAGTTCATTGGTATAGAAGAAAGATTGGCGAGGAACATCTCCAAACAAATTACATTGACCATCATACTGGATTCCTGAAACAAAAAAGGCAGGTTAAGTAAAACTTATTTTGGTAACAGTGAACAAGTTTTTATGCTCCATTTAACATAATATGGTCTTACCAATGGCTCTGGCTCTAGCAGCAGCCATCTCTGATGCACCAACTTGCCAGCTTTCATTAACTAATTTCTCAGAGGGCTCGTTTGCTGTACTTTTACCCAGAGAACATGAAGACAATTGTTCTGTTGCAAGAGGGTTATCGATGCTACCAAGTACCGACTGAAATTCAGGTTGAACTTTAGAAGCATTGAACAGACTGGGTGCTTGCCGCCATGGTACAGGACCTGATCCAGAAATAGATCTCCAATTTTTCGAAGAGATATCTCTAATTCTTTCAGCAGGTCCCTGGAGAAAGTGAGAAGCGGATGGCCATGTAGGATTCGGTGTCTAAAACACAAAACATCAATCAAAGGAAACAGAAATTAATGAAACAATATTACAAATTTAAGATACTTCCTTCGTCACAAAGTAAATGTCCATGATGAAATGGGACGCATTTTTAGAAATGTGTAATTATTACACTTTGTAATTAACTAAATGACAACTTTACCCCTAACAATAGAGAGAGTAATTAATTTCTCCATCTCATGATTAAGGGTAGAATTGGAAAGTATGCACTTACTTTTGGAAGTGGAGATTTATTTTGGGAGAAGCTAAAGTAGAAACGTGGACACTTCTTTTCGGACGGAGGGAGTATCATTTTAACCTTATGAATATATATATGTTTGTGTAAGCCTTTGTTTTCAAACGATGTATTATGCAATTAGAATTAACAAGTCGGGTTAATAAGTAATTATCCTTACCAAGATGAATTCTGTTTTTGCACAATTTAGACACTCAATTCCTCCAGCATCCAACAATATGAACATATGAAATGATACTATGCATCCACAATGGATTTGCTGCAAGGCATAATGAGTCGTTATAAAGACAACTTTTCACATAAGAATTAGAGATGTCGCTGCGAAAAAGAATTCATGATACTACCACATGCCAAAAAAACATGTTAATTCAGATAATTAGCCTTGATAGATTTTTAACCTTTCCACAAGACTCGCAACATCTCCAACCAGAAGCATTCATATGGTATGTGTCGCAGAATTTTCCATCTTTAAATGCAGAACTACAGTCAAATCGGACAAAGATCAGAAGTGCTTTATAAAGTAAACTATAGAAAAGGAAAACAACAAGAAACAAAGTAAAATTGGAAGCACCCAAACACGAGTTCACGAGCATCATACATAAACAGTAGAAAATGTACCCAAAAACCAGTCATGCTTCAATGATCATAAATTAATATGCACATTTCTATGATTTCGTTTTTTCCCTTGCTTCACATTTCAGAAAACTACATCGATTGAAATGTAGCAAGACACCAAAAACATCGTTTATCTTTCGTGGGCATATAACAACTTCCCATAATAGGATCTGTCATCATTACTACCTCTCTTTTTCCTACCAAAAACAAAAAACAACCCTAACCAACCAAAGACAACTATGTACAATTGCATACAACTTCATAAACAAAAGGATCATTTAAGGGTTTATGTTTTCAATTCGTACAATCGTACCGAGTTCTATCTACAGAAAACTATGTCACTAAAGATAATAAGCTTTCATTTCCCATTTTAAACCTCTTAATAAACAATTTCTCAGCACTCCCCCAACCATTTTGTTGCTTTGATAAGCCTATAAAAACAAAACCTAAATGTGTACTAGAGACACTGTTCTTCAGAAACAAAAATCATTAAGAGGTCTAAACCAATCACATCATGGTTTTTAAAGTATCATGCAGAACCATACACCTGTGAAAATCTTCAATTAACATTCAGTTCAGACGCATAATCGTTAATCGTATCACTCCAGTCATATTTCAAAAACCTAAATACAGCAAAAATTCACCAAAAATCAAACAAATATTACTTCCGATGCAAGCAACAACATCATCATAACAGAAACAGATTAAACGCCAGATTTTCCAACAACACACACATAATCAGTAGCATTTTATGAACAAACAAATCAAAATCAAGTAGTAGAAGAATTTACGAGCATCGATCGCAAAGGTCGGCAAAGTCTCCGGTTCGGCAGAGCCAACCTTGCCTAGGAACTTCCAAAACCTCTTTACACGTCGAATTAAAGCAAACCTTCGTTGACCCCGAAGACGACGCCATCACCGGTAGGAAGTAAATAAGCACAAAACTCAGCCACAATCCTCCACTCTTACAGAAAACCTAGAGAGATGATGATGGCGTAACAAAAAACAAACAATTCATCGCAAAAACTCTCATCGATAAACCTTTCATAGAATCCAAAATTTAGAACCCTAAGATGGCATTTTGCGTGTCCTTTATGTGTGAGGCAAACGGAGCTGCGGTTTAGTTCCTTGCAGAGGCTTTAGAGAGAGAAAGTGTGTGAGAGAGAGATAGAGAGGGGAGTGTGTGTGACTTACGACTGTATCTATAGGCTGTATCTATAGATATACAGAAGGCTTATATTGTGTCAGGGTTTTTTGTTTTTAATTCTAGTGGGTATATAGAATATACATATTATTCACTTTTGGTCCTTCGAAATTCCACTAGTTTGCATTTTTGGCATGTTAGTTTAGTTTTTTCCTATAAAGTCCCAAAAATACATCTGACGTGTTTAGATGATATGATGTTTAACATAAACACGAGACGGTTTGCTAGGGTTTTGTCGGATAAAGTGTTAATCCAATTATCATGCCCACGATAAACGCTGTGTAGCCAAGTGCGGAGCGGTCCAAAGATCTTGGGTAAATATTTAATACGTTCCCCAGCCGAAAAAGTCATTTTTGGAGGAGAAACTATGCGTTTTTGGGATCTGCATGCTCGATTTTGTATTGGTTATGAACTGAGTTGTGTAAACAGGATTCTAAACAGATTAAAGACAAATACAGTAACAAATTTAACCATGTATAAATTAAAGATGTTCGTAATAGGGTTTAATGATTATAAAATAGGATCTAACAGATGTTTTAGGGTTTGATTATTAAATAGCAGAAATGGCGGTGGAAGTCTCTGTGTCGCGTTAATAAGTAAGGTCAGTAGTATGTTTGAAAAAATAGAGTTAGAACATTATATGATAAAAATAAAATGTGACACTTTTTTATTAACCTGGATATCCAACCTGCTATGCGAGCCGACTAATCCCAAAACGACCACCTGCTTTGCAGGTAGCCCGGAGTCACCGCATTTGAACCTCCGTGGCCACAAGGGTAAAAGGTGACATTTGCTTCCAGTGGTTAACGAAAGAGGTAAGGAAATATGTTGTATGCAGTTGTAAACATTGCAATACTCAATAATTAGCATCGGTGTGTTGCGTCGTAATTGACTGTCAGGAGGTTAGGGTTTCATAAGAGCAGCAGTGCTCGTTAATTTACAAACAGGGGCGAAATTTACAAAAATGGTATATTGGAGGGACGATGCAAAGCAAAATCTTCTCCCAGTAAAGCCATACCTACGGTTTTTTTGCCATCGGTCATAGAAGATTCTGAATCCATCATTGCATGTTATGGCATTCATGACTCCATTACTGGTTTTATGTCTTAACAGTCAAGATTCATCTGGAAACTGATAGATTTATTTGAACACAACATAACAAAATAGGAATCAAATTCATCTGGTTACCCGAGTACTTAAATGTTTAAAACTTTACATCTTAGATATTAAAATTTAAGTTTTGAAAGTATATTAACCAAAATAGAAATCAAATTAAAGTACGTTATTTTTTCATGCAATTTGTCCTTTGTGTTTTGTCAAACTTGTAGAACTATTGAATCAATGTTGAGTTTAATCTAACTGAAGAAATACGTACATTCTACTATCAAAACCTAATCTCAGGCTGCCAACGTAGACTATAAGAATATCTCCAAATGGAGATTTTTAATAATTTTGCAACAACAGATTCTTCAAAATTTTCTTCAAATCAGAAAAAGTATGAGAGAGAAGATGAAAATCTCTAAATCTGAAGATTTTTCCAAAAATGATTACTTATGAGAGAGAAATAATTTTCTTATTTAATATATCAATGAGATTTGCGTGAAATTAAAATTTCAAGAGAGAGATAATATATTTATGGGGTTGGGTTCACGTGAGACCAGTCTGTTTTCGTGAGACCCGTGAGACCACATTTTTACACGTAACCTTCACAGCAAAAACACTGTGAAGGTTTAAAAAAAGTCGAATGTGAAGGTTTTAAAAAGTCACCTTCACAGCATTTTGCTGTAAAGTTTCAACTATAAAATGTTGGTCTCACGGGTCTCACGAAAACAGGCTGGTCTCACATGATCCCAAGTCTATATTTATGAGTCCAATATTTTAATAATACAATTAATTGTGTAATCTCCAAAATAGAGAATCTGTTGGAGATGAAACTATTTTTTTTTAAGATTTTGAATTTTTACTTCTCCATTTTAGGGAATCTGTTGGAGATGCCCTATCTCTAACATATCTATATTATATTATAAAGTATTTAACGAAAACTCTTAAAAATTATTTTTTTATACATGAATTATTGTTTATTGATGCATATTACATAAAATTCAATATTACAAGTAAATTATGCGTAAGTACAATTTACTAAAGCTTTATGTTTGAATTCGTATAACAAACTGCAAATAGACATAATCAAATAAAGGATAAACATCTCGTTTTAAATATAAAAAATCTAAAATATAATTAGAATAATCATTGAGTTCTAGCAAAATATTTAATTATTATCTTATAAAAAATTACATTATTAAACCAAAAATAAGAAATTTAATTTTAAAAAATATACAAAAAAGGGGAAGAAATTTTAAATAATTAGTTTGTACTAATACCAAAAAAAAAATTAATTTTTAATGATATCTTCATATTTATATTTTATTCAAAAATATAAAACATTATCGTTTTCTCAAAACCGCATAAAACCGTATTATGACATCGACTAAGACAAAAATAAATAAAACAAAACATTAACATCGAGATGTATCTCGCTGCATTGTGCGAGTACCTTTATAGTTCTTCAAAATAGAGAAAATGAAGATTTTAAGCAATTTTTTTGCTTCAACAAATTCTACAAAACTTTTTTCAAAAATGGGGAAAGTAGGAGAGGGAATGTGAAATTCTTCATATTTGGATATTTTCCCGAAAATGATTATCATGTAATAAATACATTTTTTTTATTATAACGCACCAACATGAATTCTTGAAATTAAATGTTTTAAAAGATAAATATTATTTAAATAAATGTTTATAATATTTTAATAATACAATAAATAATGTGCTTTTCAAAATGGAGATTTTTTTTTGGAGTTAATTATAAGGTGGCGTTTGTTTTTTAAGAGGTGCTGAAGTCTGAAGTCTGAATTCACTTTTGATTTTTAAGAGGTTGAGCTGAAGTCTGAAATCTGAATCAGTCAGACTGTTTGTTTTTTGCGTCTGAAATATGAAGTTTGAAGATGAGAAATCGAGTGTTGATATGGATCGACAGTTGACAAAGTTGAGAGATGAGAGATCGAGACAAAAGAGTTGATCTAGAGAAATCGAGCGCAAAGAGATCAGAGTAGGTAGGCGACGATTTGAAATAAGAGATAATAAGAGATTTCACAACCACTTAAATTTTCAGACCTAATAAGAGCTTTTAAGCTCTTAATTGAAAAAAAACAAACACATTGAATCCTCTTATGTCTAACCGATTCAGACTTAAGAGGACATTAAGAGTTTTTTTTATTAAAAACAAACAGCCCCTAACTTTATTTTTTAGATTTGAGTTTTAATTCTCCATTTTGAAGAATCTCTTGAGGTGCTCTAAGAGCATGTCTAACAAATTTTTTAAAGGGTTGTTTGTCTACCTTTTAATAATCCATTAAGAGGCAGTCTTTGAATCGTTAAGAGGTGAATCTCGTTCGACAAAAAAAATGTCTCTTAATGATTCTAAAACCATTTGAATGATTTTGTATCATGAGTCTCCCTTAACCATTCAGGGCTCTAATTTCGTTGTAAATAACTACGAAATAATTATATTTCAGTTTGCATTATATCATGAGAGACTCTTAATTATTCTGACTACATAATCATTATGCACCAAACAATTCAGCAACTGTAAAAAAAAATATATTATTTGGGATTTTGGTAAAAATAGGAAAGAGAAAGAAAGAAAGGAGGGGGGTTTAAAATTTGGAGTTGTCTTTAAAAATGAAGAAAGTAAGAGAGATGTTAAATTTCTCTAAATTTGGAGAACTTTCTGTAAGTATCTCTAACAGATTTTTCAAAATGGATGATCAAATTTTATTATCTGGGGTTAACTTCTTCAAAAACCTCTTATTACCGGTTTGACACTGATATAAGTTGTTTATTCAAACATTCCAAAATGCTTATTACCGATGTCACACCAAAATAAGTCAATAAATTGTTTTTATAAGCAATCCCAAACACTTCATTAAAGAATATGTTGGAGAAAAATTTGCCCAATTCCTTTATTTTTTCCATCTTGGATAATCTATGAAAGATTATCCAAAAGTGCTTGTTGGGAGAGAGAGAGAGAGAGAGAGAGAGAGAGAGAGAGAGTTTTTTATTATTTAAATCAATTAAAATCATTAAAATTAAATGTTTATAAAAAATAAAATAATTTTAAATTATAATTGTATTTAATATTTTAATAATATAATTAATGTTGTGATATCTAAAATTGAAAAGTTGTTGGAATTAGAAGGCAATTTTCTTCTGGAGGGTTAAAAATGCATAAAATGAACCCCTTTTTACATGTTATTTGTATTCAACCGGCTACTAAGGGCCGTTTACCCAAATGCTTACCTAGTAAGCGTTTAGCGGTAGTAGTTAACACTATAATCTATTTTATCAGGTAAGATTGTAGTATATTAAAGTGGTATCGTATGTAACAATTTACTCGGTAAACACCCGGATAAGAGTCATCAACATCACTTATCGGGTAAGACTCTCTATCCTTATCATTGCTCTTACTGGGTAAGATTTTTGGCTCTTGTCATATTCATTAGGTGAGGAAAATTACCTGATAAACACTTACCAGATAAATGTTTAGTAAATGACCCATAACTTTCTCACAATATGTTAAAGAACATTTTAAATAGATTCTTTAAAAAAATTCAAACACATAATCAAAATTCAAAAACTCTACAAAAAGTTCGCATCAAACTCCAATAGTTTCTCTATTTTAGAGATTACAATATTAATCACATTATTAAAATATTTAATATATTTAATAAAATATTAATTCTCTCTCCTAAACATTCAATTTCGAAGTTTTTTATTGATGAAAATATAATAAAAAAATACATTTTTTCGTCATGGTAATCATTTTTGGAGAGTTTTCTAAACTCAATGACCGTTTACCCAAACGCTTACCAACGATAGTTTGCATTTTCATTTACCTTACCGGGTAAAATTCTAGTCAATCAAAACGGTATCGTATGCAATAATTTATCCAGTAAGACGCTAACCGAGTGAGGGTCGTTACCTCCACTTATCGGATAAGACTCTCGGTCCCAGCCAAAGTTCTTACTGGGTAAGATTCTGGATCCTTACCTTGTAGTCTTGTACATCCGGTAACGTAAATAATCCAGGAAGCACTTACCGAATAAGAGTTGGGTAAACAACCCTTTAGAGTATTTGACACTCTCAAAATTTTCTATTTTAAAGAATCTGTTAAAGTAAAATACTGATTTAAAATCTTCATTTTAAAGAATCTATTAAAAACAGATCTAAACCCAGCTCTTAAATTCTAACATACCATCAATCACAAGAATCATAATATATCTCATCACTCTTTTCTTGGAAAACATATATAAACCTATACAAACTTGCAATCCATTTAAACTCATTAGAATAGTTTCAATTACCTTTATTTTTTGAAATTGATAAAAAAAACCAGTATCAAATCTCAAATAGGTATATTTATCGATAGTTTTTTGTTCAGCCAGTTTCCGAACGCTATTAAATCAACGTCACAAATGACCATCTTCACCAATCGCAATGCTTGTGAAATATTTCTCGTCTTTATACTTAGCGTACGAAGGAAGCTCAAGTGCATTCTCGGCTATTTTACCATCTTCGTGTATCTTTGCAACAAGGCTCTCAAGCGAAGGGAAGTTTGCCTGTCATCATCATCCAATCATAACCAGTAAGCAAGATGAACGAAAGAATCAACGAGTAAACAACCAACACAATTTTATTCTTGTTATGATGTTGACTTGTTTGCAAACTGGGATCTTCTCAGAAACAAGTACCGCATATCCCACCCAAAGGTGGGGCCCACGGGTAATGTTTTCCCTGGGCCTCATCTTCGGGTGAGATATACTTTTTATTTTGTCATTAAAGGGTATTTAAGCCGCATTCTTCCCGCCCACTCCGTGATCTCATGAAAATTTGTACTCCTGCTGTCCTAAAATAAGTGTTCACGTTTCTATTTTAGTTTGTTCAAAAATAAATGTCCACTTTGATTATGAAATGGAGAAAATTTTCCTCTATTATCAAGGGTAAAAGTGTCATTTAGTTAATTTAAAAGTGTAATAATTACACATTTCTAAGATTGTGTGTCATTTTCATTGTGAACATTTATTTTGATACAGGGGAAGTAATAATCTGGCAATCTAAACTAGAATCAAAACCAAACCAAACTAGCCCAGTTTATCTCACTTGGAGTAGGGGTGGGAATGGTGGGATGTAAGCAAACCTGTCCTCTACACCACGTTTCTATTTTAGTTTGTTCCAAACTAAGGGGTTGTTTGGTCAGGCTAGGGAATGAAAATGAAAATGACAGTATTGTGTTTTATTTTCATTCTCATTGATTATTGCTTAATATCTCTAACCAAAAAGCCCCTAAATGTCCACTTTTAAAAAATAAGTGCATACTTTCTCATTCTACCCTTAATTATAAGAAGAAGAAATTAATTACTTCATCTATTACCAAGGATAAAACTGTCATTTAGTTTATTAATAGTGTAATAACTATACTTTTCTAAAAATGTGTGCATTTTTCGTTGTGGACACTTATTCTGGGACAGAGAGAGTATATTTTTTTGATATATTGAATGACAATTTTATCCTTAATACTAGAAAGACTAATATTTTAAGGGTAGAATTGAAATGCTGGCCTTTGCTTTTGAAAATGGACATTTATTTTAGGACAAACTAAAATAAAAATGTTGACATTTATTCTCAGACAAAGGTCAAATAAGCTTATTAAAAGTCACTAAAAATGAATATATTGCAATTTTCCTACATCACAAAATACTGTATTCCCTCGTTCTAAAATAAATGTCCACATTTATGTTTTAATTAGTTTCAGAACAAGTGTCCACTCTTCAAATATACCTCTAACTATGAAGTGGAGAAATTCAGCACTCCTTGTATTATTAAGGGTAAAATAGTCATTTGGTTAAGTAAAAAGTATACTAATTATTTAAAGCAAAAGTGCGTACCTCGGGTCGGATATAGCCAACGATGATAAGATGTAATTCCTCGCCGTAGAAATCCCCATTGAAATCATGAAGCAACCATGGCTCCTGAAATTAGAATACGGAGGATGAATAGAACACGGGTTAGAAACCGATGATTCGAAGATTTAAGAACGTTTAAAAAGTAACCAAGATTGTACTCACTATGGTCTTCTCGGTGTTATTGAAATACGGGTTCCAACCTAGGCTCATAACCATCTTGTAAACACCCCGGTTTGATAATTTAGCCCAACCAAAATATACACCAGCAGGATGTTCCGCAAGAACGGTTGCATACCCTTCCACCGATAAATTAGCTGAGAGTAAAGAGAATCGATGAATTATAAAACTTTAACCAATCGGGCCAACAGAGGCAGATCCAAAAAAGATCAATTGTATCACAAAATAATTACCATTATATAAAATAAAATTTTAGCATAGTTACAAATACCGAGCTCCGAGTACGACTAGGGCCAAGTGTATTAAGCCGATAAGCAGTTACGCACTACTTATTGTAATTGATACTCCCTCCGTCCCAAAATAAATGTTCACAATAAAAAAGGCACATAGTTTTAGAATTGTGCAATCATTACACTTTTTAATACACTAAATGACAATTGTACCCTTAATAATATAGGGAGTAATAAATGTCTCCATCTCATAGGGGTAGAATCGGAAAGTAAGCACTTGCTTTTAAAAGTGGACACTTAATTTGGGACGGACTAAAATAGAAAAGTGAACACTTATTTTGGGATGGAGGGAGTATTTTTCAATCCACTAGTCTTCAACTTACAAATTTCAATTACTTTATAAGAAATTATTAGCAATTTTATTTAAAGATTGGATTTTAATTTTATATGATCCCATACGAATCATGCATATACATATGGACCCAAGGGCCTGAGTCTTTCTGGCTCAACAGGCCAAGATCAAAGGTCGAGGACCGGTTTGTTAGCAGCTTAATAAGCTTAACGAGACTCACAGCTTATTTGGTCAGCCATACATAGTTGTTTGGTAGTGGCTTAATGATATAAAAATTGGCTTATTCAGTAAGCTCTTAAAAAGGAAGCTTTATGTAGAAAGTCAAGTTTTTTTCTAAACCTGTCACTCCCGATTAAAAAACACGCTCCTTCCATCTATGAAAAACCCTCTAAAATGAAAACCTCAATCTATACAAACAGATTATTCCACATAGACAACTTTATCCGTACAGAACTTAATGAAAAACCAAAATAGTCTTCAAGTCTATTAATTCTTTCAAGATCGAAGCTTTGACCAAGCAAACTAGGGGTCCGCTAGACTCGAGTACAACGCAATTAAGATTGCAAACATATCTACTCAGAAACATGATTCCACACCAACCAAAGATAGGGCTAATGCATGCATGGTGAATGGAAGCTAAGATATTAAACAACCCAAGAAATTTGAATGAAATGAACACTAAATGCAATCAAAGGAAAGGTGAAGCTGCGAAACCTGTTGGGATTCCAAGCACCTTCGAGCCACGACCATAACCTTTGATAACGGGGCCACCAATATGCCAAGGTTCTAAGGGTAAAGTACTATCTATCCCTGAAAAATTGAAATTGTTAAACTAGTGAAAATGGCTGACATATAAGAGCATCTCCAACAGTTTCTCCATGATTTCTCCAAAATGGAGAAGCAAAAGTCAACATCTCCAAGAAAATTACATTCAATTCCAACAATTTCTCCATTTTGGAGCTTCGATTCCTTCATTTAATTTATTTGGCAGATTGGGGAGTTTAATTTTCGGAAGAATAAAAAAGTCATTCCATCTCTTCCTCCATTTAATTTTGGAGGGTTCTTCAAAATCTGTAGATCTTTTTCCTTCTTTCTCCATTTTAGAGAATGTTTTGGAGAAGTTGGAATTAAAAGAAATCCAAAATCTCCTTTTTCTCCATCTTGGAAGAGCTGTTGGAGATGCTCCAAGTGAGTTTACAGGAATATGTCTAAATTAGTGAGAAATATTTACAATCTTCAAATGGAGGGAGACCCCAATTTTCCGGTCGTAGGTCAAGAAGTGAATTGATCACCTCGTCGGCTGCAGTGTAAAGATGGGACTGCTTTGGTTGAGATGGTACAGCAACCACTTCCATTTCAGCAGCTTTAGCAGCGGTAATACCTGGTCTAATATCGTAACAAAGCATTGTTATTTTAAGCATCCATGTTAACGAACAGTCTGTAAGCAAAAAATAATAGTTTCCATGAAGATCTTTAAACCAACAAAAAGAACTCTATCAAATCGACGAGGTTCAGCCGTTCAGCAGCAGATGATGCACTAATCTACCAAGTTATAGCAGCAATGCTAATAAACAAATCAAGTATGAGCACAAATGAGATGAGGATTGAGCAATTACATTATTCAGCTATATAGCTACCAGCATTTCCCTAGTGAACTTGAACATTTAATGATTTGACATGAGAACTCTCTCATACTATATTTGCATTGTCTAATGAGGGTGTGTTTGGTAGGCAGACGAAATGGGATAGGACTGAAAGGCCAAGAGTGAGGTAGGCGCGTGAAAGAATTGTGGAAGGTTTTAGGGTTTTAATTTGGCAGCATGGGTAGTTTAGTATTACCAATCTTGTCCCTTCTCCCTTACTCTTGTTCCACTGTTTTGGTGGGACAAAAATGCGGTTCCGTCTTGTCCCGGTCTAATGTCACGCCAAACATCCATTTCTATTTCCTTTTCATCAATTGGAGTGAGAGTGGGACATACCCTAAATGGGTAACTTTTTAGTTTGGATTTCCCATCTTGCTTCTGCCACTTTTGATGGGTGAATGGCATTGCTTGAAACTTGATTACTTAATGCTATGTTCCAAAACCTGTCCCCCTAATACAAAATAGTACTTTTACGGATTATTGACAAACTAATCCTTTTAAAGGATACAATTAAGCCACTTGTTGAAATTTTCATCTAGCAAGGACACAAATTCTGAATTCTAATTTGGAACTTTGAGAAAGAGATTCCAGGATAAAGGCAGAGATGAAATCCCACCAGAGTATTTGTAATTATCGTAGTTTCCTCCATCTTTCATATGGACCAAGAATGTTCAAAAGTCATCACTTTTGAAGTTTGTGTACTTTGTGGCTTGAATTTGGTGGATCTGAATGGCAACCCAACAGGAGAAGCTCATGTTGCAACCAAATTAGAGAAAAGAGACGGGAATTTGTGTTAGTAGCAAAGAGCAAGAGGCTGCTATGCTTTTTTCTTTATTTGTGTGAGCCCCAATTTTTTAGCCACTTTATTTGTGTGCAACCCAACCCCAGAAGCTCATGTCAATCTATATATTTCATTTCACAATTTGTTGTTTGTTCGCATGTAGAAGGATGAACCCAAATTGTTTTCTAAACAATATTTGGCTCTTTAATGCCATCACATTTCAGATCCTGAAGTTGGCACTCAAATTGTTAATGGTTCCATAAAACACTGTGACAGTCACTGGATGTCAATATGATATGAATTTACCTGACTAAAATAATAATAAAGGTAAGAACTACTGGTATCAACATGATGAAGATCATAAGAAAGAAAATTTTATAATAAGGTAGAACTACTCATATCAACATGATGCTCCTAGTAGTTTAGAATAGATGACTATCTAACACATAGTTGGAGTTTCCCTAAAGTGATTTTCAATCATCTTCTTCTAAATGAAAAAAGTAGCCGGTCGCTCTCAAATGATGGTGCAAAACTTTGAGCAGGAGTATTTTTGTATGAGTGGATTTACACCAATAGAAACCATAAATTTCATACACAATAAAAGRGATATGATCCATTTTCTTATTTTTAGATAGGAAATGTAGTTCGTTTTTCCKTTCTATCCTATTTGATCATTGATATTCGAACATTGTTCTCTTTCCTTTGTTCTAGTTCATGATCTGAACGAGTCGCACATACACCCTAGTACATGTTCCTCGACGCTGAGGGCATCCCCGAAGCGCGGGGGATTTTGTGACATTTCTAAGTGGCTGTCTTGTATTTCTAATAAGTTGTTTAATAGTTGGCATGTTGAATCATATACATAATGGGCTGGTTTAGATCGATCCTAACCGGATGATTATGAATTACTTTTATTCAATAGAATAGCAAATAAAAGTCATAGAATATCAAACTCGGCAGGAGTAATATCAAATCATAAATTGATGCGAAAGGCTATTGTCATTCAACAGCTACAAGATCAACAATTCCATAAGCTTGGGCCTTTGTTGCTGGCATAAAAACATCTCTTCTTCGGATACAACCCAAAAGGATTTGCCCGTTCTATATGTACGAAAACAGTTTCCATAAGCCAAAAATCAATTAGGCGAGTTGTTTATGACTCACCTCCAGTGAAAGAAAATGTGAGTGGAAAGCGGCATATAAGGAAAAAACCTATGCTGTTAGTTGCGGCGCAATAGCACCGCTTTTGCAGCGATATCTCGGATAGCGGACGTTAGCAAAATAACGGTGGTCAAATTGTGGTAGCGCAATTTACCGCAATTTTGATCGTTATTTAGGGTCAATTGCGTTCGATATTAACGTTACATTTTGGGGGCGGGGGGGTTGGGATTTATTTTCAGTCTCTGTTTTTAGATAGTTGGGCTTTATTTCCGGTCTTTCTTTTTTTGGGCTTTATTTTCTTTAAGTTTAATCCATTAACATAAGTTGGAAGAACTAGGTTTCTCTATCGACAACCTGTTTTAGTCTTTAGACAATCTGTTCTTCTAGGCTTTGTTCGGTGATCTCATCTGGTTTAGACAACCACGACCCACGAGTCTCAGGCTCTCAGCTTCTGTTCCAGACTTCCAGCTTCTAGCTTCTGTTTCCAACTTCTAGCTTGTTTATGAACACTTTTCTTATTTTGCAAATGATATGTTTATGTAGGCATATTATATATATAATTATATATAACTCTAAGAAATATTATATGAATCGCTATTTTTGGACCGCTATAACTGCTATTTCAAATATAAGGTATTTTCATCACTATAACAGCATAGAAAAAAACTACATACATTTGTGGCCTCAATTTTCGGTGCTTACATCTACTCCCAGTGAATGCCATTTTGCCAATCATGGTCTAAGGTTATTGAGCTAACAAGTGAAATTATTTCAGTAATTTAAATGCCATGAAACTTCCGGAGGCAGTGAGAAAAATAATATACTTGCATTTTACCAGTGATTTCTTGTGGTAATAATCTGATGCACAGAGGGAACATCGACAAACAAGGAAGCTACAATTTACTTGTGATCTTCAATCAGAGAAAAACGGATCACCGATGCATTCTAACCAGCAAACTCAAAGTCCCAATTTGATTCCACAAATTCTTTTGGAAGATATGGCATAGGGGAAATATGTCTCGACATACATGCAATAATCAAATTGCTTTGGCTTAACCACTGCAGTTAGCAAATATTTCAGTTATTTTATGAAGAGGAAACTCACAGTGAATCTTCGATGACGAGACATTTGGAAGGATCAATGCTTAGCCTTTTAGCTGCTTCCAGGAATCTGATAACGGATTACATGTACAATGCCAAAGAAGTTTAAGATGAGTGTCATCCATCTCAAATTTAAACAAAAAACAGCCACAAACTAGCTAGAGCAACTCAACATGTTTCATCTTACATTTCAGGAGATGGCTTTCCAGATTTTACTTCATCACCAGCAATAATGGCTGAGAAGGATTCTTTCCAAGCTGCATGGGAACCCAGTGAGGTAACAAATTAAAATGCGTAACTATGATGCAAACTGTTTAACACTGCCATCGCGCCAGCAGGTTGTGTTTTTTTAAGTGACCAACTTGTTCAAAATCTTAAGCTAAAAGCTTCAGTGTGTTTATCATAAATAAGTTCCAACTTACTAGGATGATAGCTTATCTTTGTTTCAATGCTAGCTCTTGGAGAGTTAGAAGCCAATGCCATTTGCACTCCATGGCCTCTCAAATGTGTAATCAAACGATAGGCACCAGGTAGTGCTTTAAGTTTGCACCATCTAACAATTTGAACAGGATAATCAGAAATTATACCATATGCATAGTTTGAACAGAAATAGTTGGTGCATTAGTAAGTTTTCAATAAGTTTTGCATTGACAGGAAAAATAAAATTATGTCTTCACTGCTAAAGTTCTAAAGCAACAACATTCTAGGATACATGCCTCGGTCGCCATTATTAGGAAGAGAAACAGTGACAAGGAATGAAATAACGCTCGAGAGACCTTTCTCAGTTCATCACGAAAGAAATATTTTTCTTAGTATTAATAGTTGAGAAAGTTACTACTATAGCTTGCTTAAGTATTATTCCAACTTGAGATATGCCATTGGACCCAAGTTTGATGGATAAGTTGGATGTCAAAGTGTAAGTGAATAAGTTGCCTAAGCTCTCTCTACATTTAAATGATAAGCCAGAGCAAACATTGGTTTCCAAAAATAGAAAAACAAAAAACAGAAATCTATGAATTTCACTATTGTGACTTCTTGCAAATATTTAACAGGCACACAAGTAGGAACCTGCTTGTCCTGGTCCATACAAGTTAGCTTTTTATGACTTAGTTCCTTGACCATTTTCATCCAAATTTAGTCTAAATTAGTGAAAACAAACAGCAAGAGTGGGGTTTATTACTGATCAGAGAACATTGGGGAAATTTCTGATAGTAAGTCTTCTTTAGACAGAGGAAGTCCATAATCCTCCACAATAGCAGCTGCCGCTTCTATAGGTGTTTTCCCAATAATCTTATGAGCCTCTCTCCCATCCCATTTCTTCTCATACTTAACCAAGTAAGCTTTCAAAACTTCACACACGATGCCATCTGTCATAGAAATAGAGTTTAGATGATGAATTCTAAGATCAAAGTCAATGCCGAGAAGACACACAACCATCTAACCACATGGAAGATAATCAAAGCTACTAGTTGAATGGAAGTAGTTGAGAAGCTTGACATTCAAGACTGAACCCACGCACACAAAAATCCCAACAGTACAAAGTCAATTACTGAAACAAAATGCATAGTACCCAATGTTTTTTCACTGTATGCATTAGAGAGTATGTCCGTGATCAGAAGAGGGATGGACAGGAAGTAATACAATTAACAACTCAAGAAGCATGCATGTTTATCTAAAGAGTAACTAGATGGGAAGATTATTTTTCGCTTTCCAGCAGAAAAACAATCTTTCAAGTCATGTTAATTAAAAAACAACAGTTTAAGCTTCCATAACTACATGCATCAAAAAGCAAGATAAAAAAGTAAACAACCACCTATTTTCAAGAATAGAAGACTACCTGTATTTACAAGTGTTCCATCCAAGTCGAGGATCACACATGAAACCAGTTTCCTTACAGAATTCATCATCCACTTTGTCAGGACCAAAACTCTTGCAGAAGATTTTAGGCTTGCATTCACAAACTTCTGCAATAGGAATACAGATTAGTTTAGATGTCGGCCAAACTTAAGCAAGTTACAAGGAAAATGAAAACATAAAAGGGAAAATTAGTTTGGATTTATTATGTTTGCACAGGTCCATTTTATTGTATCAACTTGATTGAAAACTGGTTTCATCTCAACAGAAAGGTAATGTGCCTAAAACATTAAAGGGGTTGGATCAAATGTCATTCAAATCATCTAGGACAAAAAATATAGAAAGAAAATAATATATAATTGGTTTACTACTTATATGTGTTAAAAGTTGCTAGGATTTCTTTGTTTTTTAGATTTGTAGAGGTTTTAGTAAGTCCTGGTCCTAAGGGATAAGTAGTTTCTGTTTTGATTTAGTCGGCCACTATGATTGCAAGGGTGTGAAATCATGGGAAGTTCTTTTCCATCATGTTTCGATGTTAGACTACTATTAGCATGTTTATTCCTTTCTGATATATAAAAAGTCTCTGGCTTTTGGGTGTCTTCAAGCTCCCATTTTCTGATTTCAACAATATGAATCGCCTATTCGAGTCCAAGTATGAAGTTTAATCTAAGTGTAATATATTGTCTGACATTAAGCTCCAAAAATAATCAATCTTTAAAGAAAAACAGGCAATCTGAGTTCACGCCTGAACAAGATTTTCATTCAGTCATTTCATCAAACATCTATTTTGCATTATACCAGGGAAGATAATTACACTAAAATAAACTGAAATCAATAAACTATATGCAAAAAACATACAAAAAATTAATCCTTAGGGATTGATATAGATGAAGGAAATCAATACATACCGCCGAACTGAAACTACTACGCAAATCGACAAGAAGGAACTATGAACAACACAATTCTGCTGCATAAGTGTCGGCTATGACGATTGTAGTAAAATAAAGATTGGCAACGGTGGCGGCGGCGATGAGCCGATGAGGACGGTGAATTGTGTGCGTGCTTTAATTCGACTGATAAAGCAAAGCTCCCACGGTTTGTTGGAGAGAACGTCCAGGTAGTTGTTGAACACTTCAAAACTTAGTAAATTATGTTTTTAGTCCTATGGTTTGTAAAAGAATACGATTTTTCTCCCTATAGTTTATAAATTGATATTTTTGTCCCTATAATTTGTACTTCATTATTATTTTAGTCCTTATAGTTTATTGTTGTATTAGCTCTTATGGTTTACAATTCTTTTATATTTTTGTAATTAAAGATAGGAGTTAAACTCCAGAACAAAAATAATAATCAATTATAAATTATAGGGACAAAAATTGTAAATTCTAAACTACAGGGTGAATCATGATTTTTAACAAACCACAGGGACAAAAGGTGTAAATTACTATAAGAACTTATGACAGTTTACATATAAACTCCTTAAAGAATGAACATTTGTTATTATTGGACCTCGTACTATGAAAAATATGAATAAAACCCCTAAACTACATTTGTTATCCACGAATTCTACATTTATTATCGGTCAACTTTGTGCACCAACAAAGAATTTGTGGTAAAATGTTTGACGGAAAAAAACAACCTCGAGGATGATTTTATAGGGTGTCATTTGAACTCGACACACGAGTATTACCCAAATAATGGGTTAATGAACGGAACACAACGATTATATCATCTTAGATACGATTTTACGGGTCGGACTGTTGTTTGGGATAGAGTCAGATCATCTAATGACGTATGCTTTAAAAGATCAAGGCTTGAAACAATTGGTAACGAGGTAAAGTTGTTGCGTCGTATTTGTTTGTTTGAGGGATATCAGTAGCATCCTAAATCGCCACTATGGATTTATTCAAACCTTTTTACAAGTTGGGTACGCTTTAAGGATCTTGGTATGTGTTTAAATGCTTGGTTGAAGGACGTCTTATAAAATTACGTGATTATATCGTTACAACAGTCAAAATTTAAGATAACAATCATACATACATACATTTTGTGCAAGAGGGTTTATATGATAGATGACACAAATCATATACATAATGACCCACGAGTTGACTGGGTTAAAGGTCCCAGATACCGTAATTGCTTCTTCTCCAGGAATATAAGTTTAGCTCAGAGGTTAGAGCATCGCATTTGTAATGCGATGGTCATCGGTTCGATTCTGATAGTCGGCTTTTCTCTATTAGTGCACGTGAAAAAGCCTAATCTCATAAGGAACTGTAATTTTCACATCGTAGTTGCTTGACTTTAACTCAAACATGTTCGTGCATGTATAAACATCGCATGACCAATTGTGTTACGTCTTCGGGGCAACAACAGTTTGTTGTTGACCGAATATAACCCAATCGGGTTTTTTTTTTTGAGTGGTGACGAGTAAAATCAAATTCACATGTTCCGTTTTTCGTGTTCTCTTAGTTACTGATCGTTTTCAATTTGGTTATTCTTTTTTCTCATATTCATTTTTGACATTCTTTCTTTCCAAAAAACAATTTAAATATGTATTAGGTGAATTAATAATGTTTGTTTTATTAATCTGGATATCCAACTCGCTATGCGAGCCGACTAATCTCAGGGTGACCACCTGCTTTGCAGATCCCGGAGTCACCGCATTTGAACCTCCGTGGCCACAAGAGAATTTTTATTCCTCTTTGAATTTGAACCGGAGACCTCCACGTACTTTTGACATTTGAAGTCAAGTTCAAACTAATCAGGCACCACCCTTGTGGTTTTAATAATATGTCTTACATTTATTGGCGAACAAAAAAACATAAAAAAACAGGAACAAGGCGATTTTTTATATTTGAAGTAGATAATATTTATATACGGCAAATAGAACAGATAAACTCACACACCATTCTCACCTTAAGTGAGGTTTGAACCTCTGACCTGCTAGGAGGCCAAATGCTCACATACCGTTGGGCCAAAGGCCCTTTGGTATGACAATATGATTTTTATTCGGATGAATACAGTCATATGTTTATGAAAAAACCACGTTAAGCGGCAAGAAATAGAACATAACCCCTCCATAGATATGAACATGTTAAATTTATTATTTAATAAACATGATTCCATTTTATCGTGTATATTTTTAACATCAAAATTCAGTTGTTCTGCATTTCTGTTTCGATTAAATTGCAGTACACCCTTCGTTTATTAAATGGTCGGGTTGCATTTGGATAACCGAATGGTTTTTGTTGAATTTTAGGCTATTCTCCCAATACAATGATTGGTTCGTCGAGTAAAGCTTAGAGAGAAACCACAGAAGGGTGTAAGAAAAAGACAAGAGAAGACATGGATCGTGCCATGTTTGTGAATAAAACGACATGTATCATGCAATACACGCACAACGTTTGGCACGGTTTGTGCCAACCATGAAGACAGAAGGCATGGTTCGTGCATGGGCTCCAGAAAGCGTTCACGATCTATGCCAAATCAACGAAGAAAAGCATTTTAAGCATGATATAATAATGTCTTGCTTTTTGGTACACTTTGCACGTGCTTTCATATCTGCTTTAAACTATACTGTACAATGTTGTCGCTTACAAACTTTTCAGTTGATTTACGTATCAGGGGATGTGATATCTTAATAGAAAATAAACCAAACAACCCTTAAGTAACGGATACAAAATAGTGACATTCAGGTAAATCAAAATCACACAGAACAATTTAGGGGGTGTTTGAGATTGCTTATTTGATTATAAGTCAAAATGATTTAACTTAAAAAAAAAAAAAAAATTTAGCGGTTTGGCACCAGTATAAGTTATTTACCCAAACATTTAAAAGTGCTTATTACCGGCGTCACAACAAAATAAGTTAATAAGTTGTTTTTATAAGTAATCCTAAACACCCCTTAAAAATAACTAGAAGGGTACTTGTGCAATGCAACGATGTACTTTTTGATTATAATGTTTCGTTTTGTATTTTGGACCTATCGATTTTATAATGCGATTTTATGTGGTTTTGAGAAAAAGAAAATGTTTTTATTTTTGAATGAAATATAAATTTGAAAATATTATAAAATTTTGAAAAATATAAACGATATTAGTATCAAATTAACGATCTAAAAATTATCGTTTTTGTGTAATTTTTTTAATTCAATTTTTTATTAAAATTTAATTGAAGTTTACAAACGAATTAATTTAATTTTGATTTAATAAAATAATTTTTTTAAGATAATAATTAAGTATTATGTTAGAACTCAATAATTATCCTAACGATATTATAAATATTTTATAATTAAAATTAGATGTTTATCCTCTAAAATTATGTTTATTTACAGTTAGTTACACGAATTTAAACATGAAACTTTAATAAGTTATAATTATATATAATTTATTTATAATTTTAAATTTTAAATAACATACATCAATAAACAATATTATATATATAAAAAATGGTTTTCAAGAATTTTTAACAAACTTTTCATAACAATTAGGACCGATGTTTTGTTTTAATACCTTTTGGCGGTAACGGCGCTCTAAATTCAACAACTCTTAATTAGTGCTTCCTTTCTCCGGTAGAATCAGTAAAAATGGAAGACGACGGTGACCTCGAAGTCGGAGAAATCATGGAAGAACAACCAATGACCGACGATCAATCGAACTATTACTCTTGGCCGCCGGCGATTCGTTTCGATGTTCCTCCCCACAAAACCTACCATTTTTCTACACATTTTAGAGCATCGTCTAACCCTAATAACTTTCTCAAGGGCGTTAAATGGTAGATTACTCTCGATTTTTTCACCTAATATGATGTTTCTACTAACAAAGAGTTTCATTTTGATTGTATTATTATTGCTTATGGTTAATACTGACTGCGTGTAGAATAGTTGCTCGTATATCAATGTTTGTTTGCTTCTGGTGATTATTGTTGTTCTTGTAGGTCACCGGATGGTTCCTGCTTTTTGACGAGCTCTGATGACAATACTCTTAGTCTATTCACATTGTAAGTACAATTTGGCGGACTTGCCTAAAAACTGTCTGTTGGTAATTTATCTGAATTCTATCGACTATCAATTGAAATCGTTCCTTTTTCATGTACAGACCAGATTATGAAAGCTGTACAGATGAAAAAGCTTGTTCTTCAGCTGCTCTTGAAGGTTGGTTTCTATTTCACATGCTGCCCTTTTTATACCAGACGAGTGAGTCGTTGTTTATTTGTTTTTCCATGATACTTCTGATTTGCAGATTCGTTTCCTCCAAATCTTGTTATGACCGAGGGAGAAGCCATATATGATTACTGCTGGTACCCTTACATGTCTGCTTCAGGTGCATCTGTCTCTCTTCCTTTACAGTGTCATAGTTTATTTGATTGGATTATTTTCCCAGTATTATTAAAATTGGGGAAGTTCAAATGAGAACCATAACTATTTTGAGAACATTGGAACAAAATATTTCCTTTTTTCATGATGAATAGCCCTAAATATTTATGAATACCATGCATTCACATGATGAAAAATCATGAATAATACATGAATAGTTGGTCCTAGGTTCTCAAAATATTTATGGTTCTCGTTTAAATCCGCCCCTATTAAAATTCTAGTTATCATTAATCAGCAATTAACCTGAAACATATACTCTGATTGTATTGTAGATCCGGTCTCTTGTGTGTTTGCAACTACCACTCGGGATCATCCTATTCATCTTTGGGATGCTAGCACAGGCCAGGTGCTTCATCTTATTCTTTGAAACTTCACTAAATGGCAAGTCAATAGATCCGGTCTCTTTGTTTGATTCGGAGAAGTTTTGATGATATAACGTGGATGAATAAAATTCGAAATTATTAAATATTGTAGTTGATATATTTATTTTTTAACTAAGCAAACACAACCATTAACATTTGGTTAATTGAAGTTCTAAAACAATACGTCACGTAAAAGTGTAATTTACATTTATGAAGATATTATAGAGAAAATTAAAGTTTGTAAACGGGGAAAAATCGTCGATTCCCCGATGGAGACGGGGATGTGAATAGGGAGTGGGGAGCGGGGATGAAGATGGGGATTGCGATCCTTGATATCCCTGACCCCGTTGCCATCTATACAAGTCAATTTAATTTTTCACTGAAATTAGCAATATGATCTATGTATGAAGTGCCACTAAGCGAATACAACAAACAATTTTTCCATCTTAAATTCTTATATTGTCACACTCGGCGAGTTTGGCAGAAATCATCATTATTCAGTTATGGATAATTTTTGTGGATTAACACTTCATTAACATGGAATTGCAGCTACGTTGCACATATCGGGCATACGATGCCATGGATGAAATAACTGCTGCCTTCTCTGTTGGTTTCAACCCGACAGGAACAAAGTAAACTTCTGCTTTCTATAAGAAGTTCAGCTACACTATTTTGAAGAATTACGTTTGCATTTCCTTTTAATTTTTAAGACTATAACCAATGCCAATGTTTGTAGAAAGGATTGATCTCACTTGCAGTTTGATGTAGTTTTATGCTTCTGTTGAGATGCAACAATGTGACTTCTTGCTGATAAGCTTCTTTTTTCTCTATTGATGATAGACAGTAACTTCTTTGATCTGTCACCATTCTTTTCTACTTGATTCATCATCTTCATGCATTTGTGACTCTGCACATTTTTATTTAATTACTGATGCTAGAAGACTAGTCTATGTTGTCATATTGTTTGGTGTTATTTTTATGGGCATTATAATGCCTTTTTCTTGGGTGTGTAACTGTTGATGATTACAACAATTATTTGTGAGATAAGTAGTTGTTTAGTGTTTTTTTGCCATCATATTTGTCTAGATCTTGTTCCGTTCTACAGCTTATTGGTTCTAAAAGATGTTCTGATTCAGGATATTTGCTGGCTACAACAAATCCGTCAGGATATTTGATATTCATCGCCCTGGTAGAGATTTTGAACAACATTCAACCATCCAAGGAAATAAGGAAGGACAATCAGGTTGGTACTTGGTTATGTCTATGGTAAATAGTTGTTATATGAAATCTAAATTTAGTGCAGTATAGAATGTAAAGATTAAGGGGACGGTATTTTTTTCATTATTTTCTCAACAGTTACATGCCGTACTCCCTCTGTCCCAAAAGAAATGTAGCATTTTATTTAACCTGAAGGGCATAATAAATTTCCTTGAAATTTGTGAAACAAACTCACCTAGTCTTAACATAGTAATACCAATAATCAAATCATAATATTGCATTCAGCGATGGTCTAGGCCGTTTAGCTTAGTGGATTGACATTTGTTGATTATACTTCTAATTGACGATATTAGTTGATAGCCCAACACTATTGATCATCAAGCTGATGGCAACTGTGTCGTTATTTGTTTCTGTAGCTGCATGTGCTAGAATGTTGTAGTGCAACTATATAATCCTATATAGGAATAGTTAGTTCCTCAAATCATTAGTGATTATTTATAAATGTTAAAGCCGACTGTTATAAGCCGTGGAAGGCTTGCTGTGAGCACTGATTTTGTAACAACAATTCATTTATCATTCCCACATGAACCTGCAAAATGTATAATCCTTATTTTCTTTCTTGTCTTCAGGTATCATATCTTCTATTGCCTTTTCTCCAAGTCATACAGGGATGCTTGCTACAGGATCCTACAGCCAAACCACAGCAATACATAGGGAAGATAATATGGAACTTCTATATGTCCTACATGGTCAAGAAGGTGGGGTTACACATGTAAGTGGGAAACTATGGTTGGCGATTTCAATTTAATCCTTATAGAACAAATTGTCCAGACCGTTTTTCCCTCGCCTTATTTGCAGGTTCAATTCTCCAAAGATGGGAACTATCTTTATACAGGGGGACGAAAGGTATAATGTTGTTTACTTATGTACGGTCTTTTGAGAATTATTCTCTTTCTAATAAGATGATATATAAACAATACTGTAGAAATACCAACTTATGTCTTTCAAATTTGTTCTATAAGTTTTGTAAATTGCTGTAATAAGCTTGAAAGTTGATATGCCTCAGCTGTTATTTTCATGCCACGTCACCTGAATGTCTAGGTTGTCAATGTGCACATTACTATATTAATGATTGGGTTGAGGATAAAGATAGGAGAAGATAGATGCCCATTCTTATTTATGTAGTTTTGCAGTAACTCTTATTCCAAGTTAATCTGCATGACGAACAATCTTAGAAGCTTGAATATGTAGAACCATTTTTAACTTGTAGCATCCTTAACGTAGGAAGAGATATGCTTCTCTCTGCAAGTTTCAATTCCATTTTCTTTATTTTGTGATCATCTTTGTACCTGCATATCAATATACCATACATATTTGTTTTCAGTTTGCGTACTTGTAAATTGTAGTGATTCTGTTCATCTATCTTAAAGCCATTGAATTTATACTCATCATTAATTTGGGAAAGAGGAAGACCTCCGGCAATTACTTATCATTGATTTGGTAACTAATAAAACTTCAACTTGTTACTTTCTATTGTTAGTCTCTTATCAGTGTTCATTACTAATCAAGTGTCTACCTCATAGTTTACATGTCCATAATTCTAGAAATTTGGAACATGTATTTACAAGACATTCTCTCATCAAAGTAAGTGATTTATGTAGGATCCATATATACTATGCTGGGATATACGCAAGACTGTTGAAATTGTATTCAAGTACGTAACTTTTCTCTTGGTGCAACAGATTTATGTAATCTTATAGATCTATTATATCTTTTCTATAGTATGTCTAGGCTTCTCAATGTCTTCTGTAGCTCATAAAATTGATAATGAAAGAACAATCTAGTATCTCCTCCATCCCACCAAAATCACAACAATCACTTTTTGGCACTCAACTTTAGGAGCTCCTCGGTCCAGCTAATTAAAATTTTTAAACATTATTCACATCTAATTGAAGGGAACTATTTTATTTTGTAGGAGCTGCATAGCTTTAAGTTCCTTTTTAAAAGTTTTGAGATACAGATACACTTCTTCCATCCCATGAAAACTGCAACAATTGACACCATACACATTAGTAGAAGGGTTCGTTAAGTCTAAAATACCTTTTCACCATAACATGGTAACAGAATAGAGAAATAATTTATAGACTTCCAACTTAAATTGGCCAAAACCAACATCACAAAAGTAATTTGAAATGGTGGCTATGGGCAAGTGGAAGTGGGTAATCTTAACTTATTTGGAAAAAAAAGAACTTGCAATTTTCATGAGACAGGACAAGTTATTCCCTAATGCAATATTTACCACTAGTGTTTTAATTGACTATTGGTAAGTATTGCAGTTTAGTATTAATTCATTGTATTATGTTAATCTTAGTGTAAAAAAAGGTACATCTTTGAAGGCTGGTGTTTTATTTACTCTGCTCCATTATTAGGTTATATAGATCATCAGAGACTACCAATCAGCGGATACAGTTCGACACTGATCCATATGGTCGACATCTTGGTACTGGTGGCCAGGTATCGTTATGACTTAGGACTTCTCCATTTATGATCAAACCCCAGTGTCATTCTATAACACAATCCATAATGTAATTCTAGGATGGTTTGGTTCACATATATGATCTTCAAACGGGTCAATGGGTGTCGAGTTTTCAAGCTGCATCAGGTACTACCATTTCAGACTTTCTTATTTTTTTGAAGTATAGAATATGTATACATAACAAATACTCATGCACATTCCTCACCTTCGGTGAGGCTGGGTTCTATTGGTAACCCAGGTACCGCCGGACCCATGATCCTTTGGTCACTTATTTTGATGTACATTCGCGGATGCATCTTGGGTTGGGTAAATATTTGGACAGCCCTGCCCAACCCAAATTCATATAGTTCCTCTATCCCAAACAAGTGCAACTTTTTATTTGACATATACTTAATGAGATCGTTTGACGAATATGCACATGTCTAAAATGTCCTTCAGTGATAACAAAATAGTGGAAACTTGTGAACCAAAATGTTGGATTTCTTTTGAGACAACTTATAAGCGAATATCTATAACATTTATTTTAAGATGGATGAAGTAAATTGGATAGATATATGACTTTATAATATATTTATACGGGTTTTTAAGGCTGGGTTTAAGCGGGATATGGGTTGGGTCGGGTATACGAAAACCCAAATTAGACCAAAAACAAAAGTGTATTACATATTGTCAATTACTAATTTCTTACACACCCCTTAAACACACCACTCAACCCCCTCTTGCCAAAACTTCATGCACTGTTTAATGCCTTGTTTTTGCATAAAAAGTTGTAGTTCATGTCTTTTATGTCTTAACATCTTGCACAGTAAAAAATATCTTAAAAGAGATTTATTCAACTCTTTACTGTTTAACACATACCTTAGATCTCAATAATACTCCCCAACGTCCCAAAATAAGTGTCCACGTTTCTATTTTAGTTTGTCTTGAAATAGGTGTCTACTTTTAAGGCCTGTTTGGTTTGTAGGATTTGGCGGCATTGGAATTGAATTCCATTCCAATCATGCGTTTGGTTTAAAGGAAAGTCCAGAATCGTAATCCCGAACATGGGATTAGAAATCCCATGAGGGTAGTATTTCACAGGATCTCAATGGATTTGTTTGTAATAATGTTCTAAAATATGTAGAACACTTGTTTTGTAATAATAATAAAAAGGTAATGTAATTATTTTTATGATTTTCTATAAATTACTTATAAAAAATGGAATTCAATTCCATTCCAAATCCTACAAACCAATCACACCAAGGATTTCAAAACCTTCCATGAAATTAAAATCTCTCAAAAACATTCCGTCAAACCGTAAATGTAAATGTCTACTTTCTCATTCTACCCTTAATTAATAGATGGAGAAAGAATGTCTCTGTTATTAAGGGTAAAATTGGCATTTAGCCAAACTAAAATTGTAATAATTACACATTCATAAATTTTTTGTTACTTTTCATAGTGGACACTTATTTTGAGACGAAGAGAAGAATAAAAATAGGTCCTTTTAGGGATCCCGTTCTCTGAGTTCTATTTCTATCTTCTACTTTCAATTGCTTGTGCACACTCGATGCAGATACTGTTAGTGGTTTCGGTTTCCATCCATTTTTGCCCATGGCCGCCACTTCATCAGGACACCGGAGATTTGGACCTCTTGATGAGTCTGATGAAGATTTGAGTTCAATTTTGCGAGGTATATTTTCTTTAACACTTTGATATATGTAGCTTGTTAGGACATTAACAACTGGTGTTTGAGATCTATTTGCATCAATGTTTGCGGTTTTATTCGAAATTGAATTTTAGGATCATAAATGCTGGTTTTCTAAAACCCCAAAATTATGGGAAACGGCGTTTCATAAGAAAAGAATCAACCGCTTTGTAAAATTCGACCACAAAGACAAATATGTATTGTTATCATGAATGATACAAATTTAGATGAAATTCTTTATGAATAACTCATACTTGTAGCATGAACTCCACTTGTGGGCATACACATGTGTAAGGGTGTAAATGAGCCGAGCCGAGTTGAGTAGTAGGTTATTTGAGCTCGGCTCGAAAAAATTATACCAGGCTCGAGCTCGAATAACTTTTTCAATGTAGGGCTCAAGCTCGAATTTTTTTTGATTTATCGAGCTTGAGCTTGATGCTCGTTTATGGGCTCGTACTGTGATTGTTTAACTCGTTTATTGGCTCGAGGTTGATAATTTTTATATTTTTATTGTATTATTTATGAATATATGAGCATACCTGCTCAAAAATGCTCGAATGGTTCTACTGGACTCTGAAAAATTTAATTGAATTTTTGAACGAGCCGAGTCAAACATTGGTTTTATGAAGCTTGACTCGTTAACTTAAATGAGCTCTATTTTGTGTTCAAGATCAACTCATGCTCGAGATAAACGAGCTCGAACTTGAGTAACTCGTTAAAAGCTCGACTCGTTTACACCCCTATATGTGTGTGTATGAAGATTTGAGCTCGTGTGAGAATAACAATTATTGTGAGATCGAGCCCTTGGATGAGTTGACCTTTTGATCTACCTTCAACTACATATTCATCTCACTCCAGCTACCTCCATCTACCTTTGTCTTCACATTTATCTTCACTTTTAGTCACTTTCACAAACTTTTACATATATTTAATCACTTTCACATGCATGAATTTGTTAAAATCTCAGTCACAATGATAAAAATAGGTAAATAATGGTAGTTGAAGGTTTTGTTTTCTCGTTCTCATCATAACTCTTATTCTCACCTGAACCCCCCTGTTTGCTCACACTCTTGCACACGTCGGGGGTCTTTAGGGTGACAACCGCTCTATTCTATGGGTAAGAGTTCAAGTATGCATACATCTAACCCCTCCCAGACCCTACTTTCAAGCAAGATTTAACGGGCCCGTTTGGTTTTGGTTTCATATTTTGTGTAATTATCAACATTGTTGTTAATATCGATTTAACTCATGTAGATGACGAGAATTGTGCTTCGGTATGGAGTTTCTCTGTTTATTCCCCCGAGGATTATGCTGCAAATGTGGACCCTGGAGACTCGAATGGTCAATCTGATCGGGAAAATTCATTCCCGGACCCTTGACGACAGTTTATGTTCTTCGTTACAGGTTAGTTTCAGCTGATTTTACAATCTATATATTTGTGACAGCTCATTTTTAGTTCCTTCATGTTGGATATGTTACTTGGATTGGATCGGATAGGAACCGGTCTCTGCCTACTAACAAGTTTTGTAGGAAAACGGTTAGTATCGTAGACCATCTTCAATGAACGCGCTATATTTTGCATCAAATTCATTTTGCATCATTTCTCTTCAACGAACAAACTATATTTTGCATCACTTTAGTGGCTGTTTACTTACAGCTTAATGAGCTTAATGGTTTGGGCGGCTTATTCGCTCAACCATACATGAGTGTTTCTTTATGGCCTAATGTTCAAGCCATAAAGCCAAAATTTCTATATGAATTAAGTAAGGACCTCTAACTTGTCCTCGTTAAGCCACTTTAAACAAAATAATACCGTAAATACCCAAGAAATAATCCAACCCTTGCTCTCTTGCCTTCCTGAAACCCATCAGTCTCCCCTATCTCAGACAAACAATTTTATCTAGAATGACAACTTAACTCATGCAGGGATTAATGGGAAAAAAGGGTAAACAACTCTGAGACACAAAATTTAATGTAATAATATTAATTTACACCAATTTTTTTTTGTGAACAAATTTGGTGTAAAAATGAATATACTTGGAATATTTTGTTTGGTGTAAAAGATTGTATTGATGGTTAGATATGAATATTGTTTGCACCAAAAATTACACCATTTTTATACAAAAAAATGGTGTTAATGGTTGGAGATCCTCTTAGGGGCCGTTTACCAAACGGTTACCTGAGTAAGCGTTTACTAAGTCACATTATCTTACTGGATGAATATAATAAGGATCAAGAATCTTGCCCGGTACGAGCGAGATAAGGACCAAGAGTCTTACCCGGTAAGTAAAGACGACGACTCTTACCACGGTAAGCGCTTACCAGGTAAATTGTTGTATACGAAGTCGTTTTGTTGAATTAAAATCTTACCTGGTAAGCAAATGATAGTGTTAAATTTTGCTGGTAAGCGCTTACCGAGTAAGTGTTTGGTAAACGGCCCCTTAGAAGACAATTTGGGCTCACCTTCGGGTGATAACCGAGTTATATTGGATTCATTTGGTTTGGTTATGTTCACTGTTGTATTATTAGGAGACGACGTGCACTTTGGCGTACTTTGAGATGTTACGCATGCTATTATGCACCTCATGTCGTTCATGCTAAAGATTATGATCCGACTTTAGCTTCATTATTCGCATCGAACATGAGTCTATAATACTTCTTATTTTTTTTTATTTTTTACGCAGGGTATAACCGGATATAAAAAATGAAAACGTTTAAAGGCCTGGTTCTTTTGGTCGGTCCATGTGACTGGAGTTTTCAATGCCGGGTCTTTTAGGGTGCGTTTAGTATGGGAGATAGGAAACAAGAAAGATTTGTTGTCCCACATTTGGTGTGATATTTAGATTTGGACATGACAACACTGAGTGGCACAAAATTGTATTTTTTTTGTCCCATCAAAATAGGTGGAACAAAATTCAGGGAGATGGGTAAAGATTGGTAAATTACTAAACTATTTTTGTCAATTTAGAACTGTAAAACCTTACACAAATCTTTCACATGCCTACCTTATTCTCACACATCTTGTTCTGTCTGCGTATCAATTATCAGATGCGTTACTGGATCTTTTATCTGAAATATAGATTCCATTCGACCCGAGCAAGCCCAACTGATCTTAAATTTGTTATGTTCTACAGTTCTAGTCCGTTTTTCATTTTATACATAATTTTCGTATTATTCTATTTAGTTTGACATCCGTAAATTTTAAGTTGTACAATATTGATAGCTAAAAATTATTGCAACAAATATATAAATAAAGTCTAATAATGCAATTAAAATTCTAAGGTCCTGTTTGGTTTGAAGGAATGGAATTGAATGGATTTGGAGTATTTATATTTCAAATCCATTCTAATTCCATGTTTGGTTTGTTGGATTGTCCGAGTTTTAAATCTTAGGATTTAATCGAATTCTTTAAACATAGGATTTTGAATTTTTAAGGGAATGCTCGGGATTTCATGAGATTTTGTAGGATTGTATTCAATAAGGTTTTAATTTAAAAAAATTATTTGTTTGGTAATAATTGATTAATAAAAATGTAATTCAATTATTTTATTTTTTTATAAATTACTTATAAATAATGAAATCCAATTCCATTCCAAATCTTTAATGGAAGTTTTAGAAGATATTAAAAGATAATTAATAATCAATAAATAAAAAGTAATTTAATTATTTTTATAATTTTTTAATAATAGAATTTAATTTCATTTTCATTTCAAATCCTACAAACCAAACATATAAAATGTTACGTATCCTTCTACTATTCCATGAAATGCACTAAAAACATCTTGTCAAGGACCCCTTAAATTATAGCCTTGTCGAGCTATCATTCTTGGAGTAGCAGATCCATTGTATCACATGTGATTTTACTCTACAATTACGTATGATTTGACTTTCATCGCACTTCTCATAATTTTACCTTCTCCTTTAAATCTGCTTATGATCCTCAAAATAAGGGTGTGCAGAAAATCAACCGATCCAATTGGAACCGACTAATCTAATAAAAAAACTGATCGACCATAATTGGATCGGATCGGATTGTAAATTTCAACATCTAATTTGGATCGGTCGGTTCTTGGATAGCAGTTTAGAACCGATCAAAACCGATCCAAACCAAACCGATCAACATCTGTTTAATCATCTGATGACCATCTAGTTGTCCATCCAATCATCATTATTTTTAAATTGCTTAAATCAGAATTTGTTTTATGTGAGACTTTGAATTTTTTACTTCCCTTGTGCTGCTTTTAACACATTCTAAAAATGATTAATTAATTTGTATTATTGTTAAAGAATTAGATTGACTTAACACATTGGATATATCTAAACCCATCGAATCTCCATTGGAGATCCGATTGATATCCAACAAAAGTATCAACTAGATGAACCGAACCGAACCGAACCGAACCGAACCGAACCGATCCAAATGTTAATCGAATTGGATCGGTTGGTAAAATCCAACATTCAATGAATGATCGGATCAGTTTGGTTCCCCTCATATTCAATAAATGTCAACCGATAAACAAACCTACGTCAAACCATTAAATTCAAGATTATTGAAACACCATTTTCTGTATTATCATTTTTAAATCAATTTTAAAAATTTCCATTAAAAAAATATTTAACATGTGGTTGACCAATTTTGACCAACGAAACCCGTTTAACAGCCGCCAGCCCGCCCGCCACCGTGGAACACAGATCCGCACACATTCTCACACGTACATGATCCATGACCACCCACATTTCCACGTGGCACTGTCTTATTTGATAAGCAGTTGGATAACCCACCCCACCCACCATTGAGTAACCACTCCATTACGAATATTAATCTTGGATTAAAAAATATATTAATTTTAAAAAAAAGTCTCATTGAATTATTAAAATGTTGGTAAAAGGATTTAAAATATTAATTATTGGTCAAATATTTTTATTGAAATAAAACTTTGGAAATTATTAAATACTAGTCAACCAAATCGGGCACGTCAGCGCCACCATCCACTCACGTTGTTTGCCACACGTGTCCCCAACGGCTACTTTCTCGTTTTAATCAACTTAGTGGTTTTTTACTAGTCATAGAATGATTAACGAGTCGTTTACCAAACACTTATCCGGATAAGTGTTTATCAAGTCATGTTACTTTACCGGATAAATATATAAGGACCAATAATCTTATCCGGTAAGAGCGAGACAAGGACCATGAGTCTTATCCGGTAAGTACTTACCGGGTAAATTATTGCATATGACGTCGTTTTGATTAACTAAAATCTTACCCGATAAGTAAATAATAGTGTTAAATTTCATCGCTAAGCACTTACCGGGTATGTGTTTGGTAAACAACTCCTAAGTGTTCAAAATGATTAAAAGTCTCTCATGATATAGTGTAAAATAAAATATAATTGTTTGATAATTATTTACAATAAAATTAGGATGCTGAATAGTTAAGGAAGTCCTAAGATGTAAATTCATTAAGAGGATTTTAGAACCATTATAAAACAATTTTTTACAAGGAACTGAGAGAATTTTAATCAGCTAAAAAGCAAAAACAAAAATGATGGTGGTGACGACGACGATGAGGTGGACTAAAAGTACCACAGGAGAAGGTTGTGTGAAGTTGGTGATTATAGAATGTAAGAAGAAGATATAGAGCACAGTTTATTTAAATTCAGTTGAATGCATTTATGATGTAGTAGTTATATTATTTTCCCATTATTGATTCGAAGTAATTTTTTATATCTATTGCATACACATCTAACATATTTATATATACAAGTTGTGTATCAAGGCTTGGGATCACGTAAAACCAGTCTGTTTTCATGCGACACGTGAGATCACTTTTTTACACTTGAAATTTCACAGTAAAACCCTGTGAAAGTAACATTCACAGTGTTTTTGTTGTGAAGTTTCGGCTTTTCTTTTACCTTCACAGCGTTTTGCTGTGAAGTTTTAAGTGTATAAAAGTGGTTAAAAGGGGCATATAATACAAAACCATTTAGAGGGTTTTAGAATCATTAAAAGACATTTTTTTTTGTCAAACAAGATTCACCCTTAATGATTCAAAAATGTCTCTTAATGAAACTATTAAGAAGTAAACAAACAACCCCTAAACCAAGTTCGCAATTGCATATACCAAACATGTAAATTTGAAAAAACACATCGCGAACATATTTCTACATACCTATTAACTAATTTACATATTTGGTCCCTATAATTGCAAACCTGGTTCAAAAACTTCATCTTTTTACACTTTCACATCTTCACAAATTGCAAACCTATAACCGTTTTTCTAATTTTAGATAAGAAACGATTAAAAGATAAAATCCATCGATCAAAATAACTATTTCAATTAATTTCTCTATAGGGGTGTTTGAGATTGCTTATAAAAACAACTTATTGACTTATTAAGGTGTGACACCGGTAATAAGCACTTCTGAGTGTTTGGATAAACAACTTATACCAGTGTCAAACCGGTAATAACAAATTTTTTGAAAAAATTAAATCTTTTCGACTTATAATAAGTTGATAAATGCTTTTATAGAAAAAACATAACTTATTTCAAATAAACAACCCCAAACATCCCCTAAATTAAACTAACTTAAATAAAAAAGCAAACATAAAAATGTAAATACCAGAAACTTCGAGTACTTTCCAAGGAAATATAGAAGAAGGTTGAATTCAACTTGACCCTAACCCTATCACTTCAATTTTTTAAATTAAAATTTAAAAATACAAATCTATCTCTTCCACTATATACACCTTAACCGAACCTCCATTTCCAACTCGAACAACACCACAATATTTAGCTTCCATTTACAAGAATCTCCACTCCTCAAGAACAACCCCTAAATTCAGGTTCAATTTCCACTTCAAAAAAGGTACTTAATTTCATTCTTTTTCATATATCTCATCTGGGTTTTTCTTGATGATCGATTACTAGATATTTACTTTGTTTATTGGCAAGAATCATGATCTTGATTTACGTTATCCGATAGCATTTTCGGTCGTACATTACTGTTGAAATTCTTCTAATGATTCTTTGTATTTGTCATGTTCACCTGATAAAACAAAAGTAAGTGATACCCTGTAAACATTTAACCCGATAAACGTTTGATAAACTTGTGTATTTCATCTGGGTTTTTCTCAATTTTGTATATTTCATCTGGGTTTTTATTAACTTCGTATGTCTCATCTGGGTTTTTCGTGATTTCGTATATCTCATCTGGGTTTTTCGTGATTTCGTATATCTCATCTGGGTTTTTCGT